TGGGTTATGTGCAACCAATTTTCATGAGCATCTATTGATTTTCATGATTTTTCACTTTTTCGATCGAATCACAAAATTTCATGCTCAAGAAGTGACATCCAATTGAATAAAAAAATGAAAAATATTCAACACTCACGTTTGTCGTCGCCTTTTCTCTCTGGAAAATATTTTTTCCACGTATCTTTCAAAATGTCTGCTTCACTATGTGGTCGACGGAACAATTTAGAACAACGTACAGTGTAGGCCACAGCATCGAAGCTGATTTTCATACACTTGCAAGCGCGCCGTTTGTGTTGGTGAGTTTCGTCAAGTTCTCAACGACGCAAAGTGACACTTCATCTCCATTGGTAGCTGTCAATTGAGCAAAAAGCAGAGCTCAATTCAAAATTATCGGTTAAATTCATTCAAAATGTTCTTTTTCAAACTCCAGCTTCCAACTTGTTGGGAAACTGGATAGATGGCCGAAAATTGAAAGCAATTCCAATGGAAACGACGAACATTTTGATGCGCGGAATTCTGAATGATGGAAACATTTAGTTGTGAAACAATAACGAACTCATTCGTTGTGTTTATGTTGTGATGTAAACCAATTAGTATCGCAAAATACTATTTTAATTTCTGGCTCAGCAAATGCATATGATTCAAGATAGAAATAAATCCATTCGCGGTACATGCGATTATTAATCACAGTCAGCTATTGATTTAGTTAAGGATTTGTCTGAAGAACCGAAAACCGAATTATGGCTGACGAGATTGAATTCATTATGGTTTTGTGTGGAAAAAGTATTCGAAGTGAACCCATTGTGTCTTCTATAAACAACTGTAATTGCATATCACCAAACTCTAAGTCGTTCGTTCATCGATCTATTGTTGTTATCCAATCCATGAATTGAAGAAGAGTCGCATGAGAAGAGCATGTTTCTGTTTGTGATTGAAAATATCTGGAGTCGGAAATGTGACGCTTTTTGAAGTGGCGGCAATGAATTGAGCAAATGGACAAGTAATCAGAAACCAATTCAAAGAGAATATTCCAAAGCTGTGCAACTGAAAAACTACGTGCCCCATACGTCAAACTACGTGCCACATTACTGCAATAGAGTGCGTGTAGTCAATGAATACAGGGACACTACTTTATGTACTTTGACTTCTGGTATACTTTGTGTAATAAAGTCTATGAACATTTATTTGGAAAAAAGTGGAACGAAAAAAAAAAATCAATAACATTAAATAATGACGAAATGTATCGAATTTAATATTTTTCCATTTTGAAAACCAAGAATATACATGTTTTTTGAAGTAATTTCATACATTGAGTTGTCATAATACTTCGACGATGCCTGGATCCAATCATTGCGCACAACTCAATGTATGAAACTACTTCAAAAAACATGTATATTCGTGGTTTTCAAATTGGAAAAATATTAAATTCGATACATCACGTCATTATTTAATGTTATTAAATTTTTTTTTGGTTCCACTTTTTTTCCAAATAAATTTTCATAGTCTTTATTACACAAAGTGTACCAGAAGTCAAAGTACATGAAGTAGTACTTAAACGTTGTTGCTTTGTTGACGTTTGACACATTTTCGTTTGTTCTTGTAAATTCTTGTGAACAAACCATTTCTACGTATTTGTGACAATTCTACGTATTTGTTACAAGTTTACAACGGCTTTCTCTGGATTTAATATAAAATAAAAATAAAATAATCAAATATATAATTTCATACAACAACATGCGAATACAAATTCCATAATTTCATACACGGAATCGTACTCAATGCTTGGATCCAGGCATCGTCACAATGCTTCCGCACGCATCTATGCATGTCTGTGAAAGACAAAAATGTCCCCACTAAGGGACAAAAATCGTGGATCCAGGCATCTGAAGTAATTTTGTAAGTAATAATCTAAAGTAGATTTTGACAAGCGCTTAGTCGAATCGGCGCCACAGAGAAATAACTACGTGGTGCACAGCTCTGGAATATTCGGATGATAAGAATTACGAACGAAATATTTTGAAGCTGAGACTTTGTAATAAAAATGTACAAACCCGATTCGAATGCAGAGTTGGCGAAGATAATACATATTCCCAAAACCATCTGTTTCTTTCTTTGGAGAAGAGAATTGCTGCAAAAATGAACTCAGAAATTAAACGCAACACTCTTAACCCTTTTTTTCGTTTGATTCCGGTTTCAATATGTATTTTCATGTTTTGTTCTATTTTGATCAAAATGAGAGCTTAAATCTCAAGCGATAACTATGCAGTTTTATTTTGGAAAGTATTAAATGTTATTTCAATTTCAGGTGCATGCTCGTTATTACTATTCAGTGACTGTCTTTTATGTGAAATTGCTTTGTAAGTGTCATGAAAGTTTATTATTAGTTTTAAGCTAAACTACGTTTTAATAAACCTCTAGAATTTGTGACTTATTTCTTTTTCAAATGGTGAACTGCTTTCATGTGTTGCTCGGCATTGCCTTTGTGGGTAAAGCTTGCTGAGCACACTTCGCATTGAATTCGCTCTCCGGTGTGATCTTTGCGCATGTGAATCTTCAACTTTTGTTTGTCTCGACGATGCTCTTCGCACAAATGGCATTGATACTGACGGTAGGCGCAGATATCTTCATGGACAATATTTGCATCTTCGGTTGCGTATCCTCCAAAGCACTTGAAGCATTGGAATGGGAATCGATCGCTATGTGCTGTTGACAAATGACGATTCAAATCCATTTGTTGAACAAATTGTTTGCTGCAAATTTCACATTTGATCGATCTTTTGGCTCCGTGTTTTGATTGCATGTGCCGCTTGAAAGTAATCTTGTGAACAGTTTTGTAATGACACTGATTACAAGCAAACGGACTTCGTTGGCAGCGCAATTCATGCGTTTGCTTATCTTTTGGAGTGGCGAATCTTCGACCACATTTCGAACAAGCGTTCGGCAGTGTATCGATGTGAGACATTGAATGGTTCCGGAGATTACGCTTGCTTGTAAACGACTTGAAACAAATGGAGCACTCGAACGGCTTTTTACCTGTGTGAATGCGCATATGAACTGTCAAATTGGATTTCACCACAGTGTGATATCCGCAAATATCGCATTCGAATTGGCATGGATTACATAACGCTTCGTGGTCGAACTTATGTGATTCTTGTTCAAATCCTTGATTGCATTTTGAACAACGGATTTGGCAATGCGTTTTCTTATGCATGTTCAAATCACCTTTTCGTGCAAAGGATTGCGAACAAACGTCACACTGATACGGCTTCTCTCCAGTGTGAATTCGCAAGTGTACTTTGAGGTGGGACTTGAAATCTGCAACATGATTGCACACATGACATTTGTGCTTCTTTTGCTTTTTGGCCGCTTGATTCCTGGGAATCGCTCGTTTGCTCTGGTTTTTTGATGCTTTATTTCGCTTCTTTCCTCTGCTGACTGGTTTCGCAGGTTTAACATCGACGGTGTCACCAATTGGCTCTTCGTTGACATCATCATTGTCAACGGCTCTTTCATTCGATCGTTCACATGGCGTCGAGTCCTTTTCTTTGCCCGTCTCTCCTTCCTCATATTTGATTTCATCCTTTACCTCATCGAAGTCATAGCCAAAATCAAACGGCCCTTCGTAATTCGCACGATGTCTTCTCTCAACTGTCGGCCGTGGTATATTCATGACACCATCATCGATGGTGGACTTTTCCTTAATGCCAGGCTCTTGCTTCACTTCAATCATTTCAGATTTTGGTGTACGCTTGCTGCGTCTGCCAGCAACACCTTCGAACGGGTTCATTTCCTGAAATCATCACAATATGAATTCAAGTAGAATTATAGTGAAAAGTGATTCAATTAAATGCAATCTACGTTGCTTGAAGTGTTTATGCAAAGAACGAAATGTGCACACATAGCACACGTTCATAAGTTCGGTTATGTGCAACCAATTTTCATGCGCATCGATTGATTTTCATGATTTTTCACTTTTTTGACCGAATCACAAAATATTATGCTCAAAAATGGCGTTCAAATGAAAAATATTTAATACTCACGTTTGTCGTCGGCTTCTTTCTTCTGAAAATATTTTCTTTCACGTTTCCCTCAAGATGTCTGTCTCACTCAGTGGTCGACGGAACAATCTAGAACATCGTACAACGTGAATCACAGCATCGAAGCGAAAACTAATACGCTTGCAAAGCGCTTTGTTTGTGTTGGTGAGTTTCGTCAAGTTTTCAAGACGCAAAGTGACACTTCGTCTCCATTGATAACTGTCAATTGAGCAAATTCAGAGCTCAATTCAAAAATATCGGTTAAATTCGTGTAAAATATTCTCCTTCAAATTCCTAAACGTTCACAGACGAAAAAAATCTTTCAATCGAACAAAGAAATACGTCAAAAATATGATGTAAGCAGGTTTCCTTCAAATATTCGCATTTAATGACATGAATCCTACTAAACAACACACATACGCATGACCAGTCATTGGCGCATACACAAACGTCATAGATGACTTGATTTGGTAGGATTCCTGTCATTACATGGGGATATTGGATGGAAACCTACTAACGTCATATTTTTGACGTATTTCTTTGTTTAATTCAAAGGTTTTTTTCGTCTGTGTTTGGCTCTATGAAAATAATAATCGCTTTGATATTCGAATTAAGAAGTCTGTGACGATTGAGCAAAGTCAATGACATTGGAGTAGTGAAATTTCAAATTATACCGTTAAACCAACATCTAATGTTCAAAAGAATCACAAAAATAAAAATACATCATGGTTTTGGGGAATGTAGATAATTTATTTTTGAATAGGTTGCTTTAAATGTTCTTTCATCGGTAGATCAAATGAAATGAATGGATGACACAACTGAATAGGAACGATGAAATACTTGGTAGGAAAACTAATTTTCTGTTGCATAAAATTATGAATTTGTAAAAGAAAATTTTCACACTTCAATATTCAAAGCGAAAATCTTTTAACAGAAGAAATAAAAGACAGAAAGAAAATCATATGATTTATTGAAAGGTGTGTACATTTCTCATTTTAATGTGTAATTTTCTGAAACTGAACATTTATTTTGCTGAACATTTTTAATTTTTCGTGAACACATTTGATTTTTGATTTTGACATTTTTTTTTTTGCTTTTTTTTTCCTTTTCTTTCGTTTGAAAGTACTTTGAAAATTGACTATGAAATACTGACGGTACATATATTCCTTGGAAAAGCATCTAAGTGTTTGGGTTTTATGTGTGAGTGTGTGTATGTGATTATGTTTTTGTCAAGCTTTGATTAAAAATGTTGAGATTTTTCTCCTTGGTATGGTTAATATATTTGTGGCAGTGTTTTGAATTGAAGGGTGTATCCATTTAGTAGGGTGCACGTGGACTTAAGCTTCTACCAAGGTCATAGTGATGGCTGCCACCAAATGTGGTCGGAGGAAGGCTCATCGAAACGGCACTGTCCAACCTGAAATTTACCAAAAAGTATTCGTTTTTTAAGCTCAAATGGTTGAGGGCGAAATTCGAAGGATTTCTACGTAAAATCAAAATAAAAAAAAATAATTGTTTTTGATTTGAATTGATTTTATTCAAATTTTGAAGAAGAAAATCAATCGAAATTAATCCAATTTCGTTTAAATTCGAAATAGGTAAAAATTTATTTGGCCTCATTTTGGCCAGTTCCAAAAAATAAAAAGTTCAAACTAAAAAACACTCGATTCAAATACCTTCTTGCTTCATTTTCCAATAGTTCTGAATCTACTGGATCTTGAGCGATGTGTCTGAGTGAATCACCGAGCGTTTGTCGCAGCTGTTTCATTTCTTGGCCAGCTCTTGAGCTTCGAAGGATATATTGTTGGCGTCGTTTTGCCTCTTGTGCCAATTGCTCCTTCAGCAATGAGATCTGTGAAACAGAGTCATGAAACACGGTAATTAAGCAAATCGTTGAGAAATGGGAGCATTTTATCATTTCCTTTTCTTCTTCTCATCATTTCATGTGTTATGGAAGAGTCTTCCATATAAGACGATCAAAGAAAAAAAACCGTACCTGATTTTCCAGTTGTGTAATTTGTTGTCGATGATGTTGTTCGCGAATGTCAAGCAATCGTTCTGACTTCAATTGTGCTGCTCGATGTTTTTCCAAGTCATCCACCGGACATTTTGTACTCTCAATTAGTTTAGTTCGCAATCGTGTAAGTTCAGCCTCTTTTTCGGCCAACAACACTTCCAAACGACGGATTTTAATTTTGAGATCATGATTTTCCTGCCGCAAACTGTTATGTTCGGGATTGTTGCACTCTCTTCGACTAGAATCGGCGAATTTATTGGAATCATACTCGTAATCGCTCAAATTTACCTTCTCCGGGCAATCGTACGGGCGACTTTCGGAGAATTTACTCAATTTATTGCTTTCGGCATGCCTTAATTTTTCGTTGAGCATTTCCACTTTCAGACGAAGTTCATTCTTTTCGCGCTGTGTTTTGAGTAATTGACTAGAAACATCGTCGATGTTGTGAACACAACCGGCGTCACCCTCACCACTGCCTTGATTCCACTTGGCAATGCGTAGTTGAGCCTCAATTGTGGACTTTTGCACTTCTAATTCGGCCACTTGATTCTGCAAACGTTGAATCACATCCTGTTGCGACTGTTGCACACGATGCTGTTCGTTCAATGCGGCCTGCGTTGTGTCCAATCGATCGGCCAGAATGCGACGCTCATTCTCACTGTTTGACAATGATTTCTGCATATGCTTCATCTTTTCTTGAGTCGCTGTCAAATTGTGACCTTGTTCCGATCGCTCTTTTTGCAAACAGCTCAATTCACCGCGTAGCTCCGTTTCGATTATGGCCGTATTTTGGAGACGCTCTTTCAATTGGTCGACAGATGTCTTCAATGCAACGCATCTGAAATGGGAATGAATGAATATTGAATACAAAATGTGTCCAAAGCCATGGGAAAATAATCCAAAACATCGTGAATTACCTATCTTCCACCTGAGCAGCAGATCGCTGCTGATTCTCCAGTCGCTCTTGATAGTTGCGCAAATGATTGTCCTTTTCTTGCAGCGTCATTTGCAAGCGTTGAATGTCACCTTCCAATGCGATGCGCTGTAAGTCAAGCTTATTGCTTCGACTCTCGTATCGAGCGATCTCATCCAACAGATGACGCTTCTCATTCTCTAGTTTGGCTTCATTTTGCTTCGATTTCTCTAAACGATCCTGTAATTTGAATATAAATTTTAGTAATTTTCTGTAACCAGCTGATTTCCGCTCATACTCACTTCAGTTTGTGACTTTTGCTCGGACACATTTGAGAATTGTAGGTCGAGGCTCTTGTACTTATCGGTCAATGTATTCAGTTCACTTGTTTTGAGTTTGAGAGCATCATCAACGCCTTGCAGTGCAAGTTGCTTCTGTGCCAATTTCGATTCAAGATTCGCCTTTTCCTCGTTCGCATTTCGTAGCATTTGTTGTAGCTTCGATATTTTATTCTCGCATCGAGTATGTTGATTGCCCGCTTCGTCCAGCTCCTTTCGAGCCGTTTGCAATTGAACTTTGTACTCTTCCTTTTCGCGCTCCACTTGAGCCACTTGTTGCATCAATTTTCGCACCGATTTTCGAATCATCTCCGGATCAATGTCATACAAACAACATTCACCACTACGACCATCGTAGTCGACGCCTGGAAATGGAGGAATTGAGATTTGATTTGATTAATTGCTTGATTAAACAAGAAATATTCAATATACTTGTTTATCTTGGAAATATCACCCAATTTCTCAACGATAGAAAATTTCAATGTCGAAAAATGGAATGTTTTGACCTAATCTGGAGTTGTGTGCTTTATTTAGATCTATTTTACACAACTTTTGGTGATTTAGAGTCTAAGTCCTGGTCTTAGACATCAAAATACGTTTTTTAAAAATCAAATTGAAGTTCTTGAAATGTCCATTTTTCGTAAAATTCCTCTGAATTTTCGTTTTTCCCCTTTTTTCCTTAAAAAGAAGTTAAGTAAAGTAACTCACCCGATCGTGCTGGACTGAATCGTCTGGATGGGGAGAGTAGTCGATGCGGAGCGGTGACCGTGCCATCGAATTGAATGCCTGCAATTCGTTTTAATGTATGAAGAACGGATGTGAGTTTATGTTCAATGTCCTTTTTGCATGATTCCATTTGCACTAGTTGTTCGTCAAGTGCTCGAACGCGGCTCTCAGCTCCACCGAGTCGAGCTTTGAGTTCTTGAATTTGCTGCGTAGCATCGGCCAGGCACACTTCCAAATTGTGCTTTTGATCTTCAAGGCATTTTTCACGGCCACGGCCATCCTCCAAACGGCCCAATAGCTCTTGTTCACGCGCATGCCAACGATGCTCATCTTGATTTGCCTTGCAACGCGTACGACCAAGCTCTTGGCGCGTATTCTCCAATGTTTCATCCAATTCTGTCATCTAGAAGATTCAACGTTTGAAAATGAATTTTTTTTCTTGGAATTCTTTTCAAAGACAATTTTCTCTTGAAAATTAAAATGTCAAATAAACTTTCTTTATTCCAATCAAACAAAAATACGAAGTTATTTCAAATTCAAAACCGTTTGAAACGCTTTCTTCCATTTTTTTTGAAGGAAATCTCAAGAAAAAAACTTAATAAATGACAAAAAAACCCAACCAAACAAATCTCAATCAACCACTTGCAAATACCGCACCTGTTTCTTCAATTGACAGAGTTCCTGTTGGACGCGTTCGCGTTCATCGGTTTCGTTGGAGAGTCTAGCCTGTAGTTCGTTGCCCATGACTTCCTTTTTGCCGGCACTTTGTTGCAGTTTCTGAATGTTGGCCACAGCCGCTTGATGTTCCTGACTCAATTTGGTCATATTGTTCTGTGTTTCCTTTAGCATTGTTGCGATGCGTGTTCGATCGTTTTCAAGTGAATTCCGTGAGTCTTCCAAACTGGCCAATTTCTGTAGGGCATCCTCCAAATTGCGAGCCTGTTCGCGGCGTTGTCCCTCCGCGCATTTAATATGATCGCGCAGTTCTTTGTTTGTGCTAACATATTTATCGCGTTCAATGTTCGATTCGGCCAATAATCGCCTTGAGTCGATCAATTCTTTTCGCAAACCTTCGGCCAAATTTTCATTCTCTTTCAATTTCCGGTTGGTGTCCTGCAATTGAGCCGTAATACCATTGATACGATCCTCGCTTAGTCCCAATTGTGTTTTAAGATTTTCCACTTCTTTCACGGCCAGATCACGTTCTGACGTCATTGAGCTGAGCATCAAATCGATTTTGCGCAAATCCTCTTCGGCTCGCAATTTTTGCTCTTCACATTTCGTTTTCAATTTAGCCAAATCGTCGCTGAGCTGCTTGATGGCGGTGCGATCACGATCGCTTTTTGCCACATATTCACGACGCAATCGTTCCAAATTTTCCGATTCCGTTTTCAAATCGCGTAACGTTTGTTCGAGCTTTTCGGCCACCGCTTGCTTGTCACGATGGGCCAACAAAAGCGATTGTTGCTTTTCATTTTCGCAGCGAATCAACACCTCTTCATGCTGTTGACACACCGAATCGAAATGCAATTGAAGCGATTCGAGCCGTTCTTTTAATGTGAAAATTTCACCGTCTTTACTCGTTTCGAGCGCTTGCAATGAGCTGTGCAACCGTGATTCGGCCGCAATTTTCAATTGCTCCTTTTCATCGTTCCATTTTTTTAGATTATCTTCACCCAATTGCTTGAGATAGTTGACCTTTTGCACAAATTCCGCCTCTTGATTGCTCAACGCATTGTTCATTTGCGTTTTCGTCTCCTGCAAACGACGCTCACTATTCTCCAACTCTTTTAGCAGTTGCGCAATTCGATTTTTCATTGTCTCTTGCTTCGATATTAATTCGTGCACTTCGCGGTCTAGTTGTTCGCATCGATTTTGTGACGCTTCCAAATTGGTGTTTGTATCAAAGAGAATGCCCTCTAAAGCCTCTTTCTCCGAACGAAGTGCCGCAAAGTGTTCCTGTTGTCGTTGAATCTCCTTCTCATGCGACTCGATCATGATGAGCTTGTCTTCGTTTTCTTTCATCAAACTTTCCAAATTGCGATTCAATCGATCATTGCATTCGGACAATTGTTTCAGACGCTGTTGCAAACGCATCACTTCTTCGGCTATTTGGTCTTTTTTGTTGGTCATGGCTGCCAGTTGGTTGAGCAAATCACTTCGTTCACGCGACAATTGACTCAATTCCATTTCCACTTTTTCTTTGTTTATTTCACTGATTTTCAATTTCTCCGAAATGGACATTTTCTCGGCATCAATGTCCAAACGCACTTGCTCAGCTGATATGAGCTCTTTTTTCAGAGATGCGATATCGGCCATTTGATCAGCTATTTGTGCCTTCAAATTGCCCCGTTCCACCTCCAATTCATTTAGTTTTGTGTTGAGATCCTTCACTTCCTGGTTGATGTGCGTGTTGGATGAACTTGATTTTTCCAATTGATACTTGACATCCGTACTCTCAAAGTGCAAACGCTCTAATCGACTCTCCAGATCGGCACGCTGCTTCTCCGATATCAACAGCATTTCCTCCGATTCAATGCGCTGTTGCTCCAATAAATCACGAGCCAAGTACAATTTATTCAATTCTTCACGCAATATTATTGTGTTCTCACGCAATTTGCCACTTCGTGACTCTTCGGCTCTGTGGGAAAGAGAGAAAATGATATTTTATTAGATGTTTGATGTTGAAATTGATGTTATTATTTTGATTGATTCTCGTTGAATTTTGAACTTTTTCAAAATTGACGTTTTTTCTGAACGAAATGCTCATTTTCGAATCCTAAGTCAATCGATGGAAGTTATTCGAATTGGCTCATGGTCCTAAAGTCAATCTTGTGAGTTCTCCGAAAGAAATTCCAACTTTTGATTCACCAAAAACAACTTGAATTCCTTCAAAGTTTGGATTCTTGTAAAGAAATTTTAAATTTTGCGAAATTTGCGTACCTCAGGTTCATTTCGGTGATTTCCTTGTCCTTGCGAGAGCATTGCAAATCCAATTCAAGCATTTTCTTCTCTTCTAACAGAACGTCGTACAATTTCTGTAGATGACTCTTGGCCGTTTGTGATTTCTCCAAATCAATGCTAAGCGTCTCAATCATCAGATTCAATTCGACCTTTTCTTTGTCAACGGAATGCTTTTCGCCACGAAGAGATTCCATTGTTCGGTGTAAACTCTCACGTTCCTTTGCCAATTCCGATAGTTGAATGTTTGCCGCATCCATTCGGTTTGTCAATTCCATTAATTTACTGGTGAGAATTTCACGTGCATTTTGCGATTCATCTAATTGCTTGTGAGTGGCGTGCAATTCATTTGCACTTGTTTCCGATTTTACCTGTTCGAAAAGAGAGAGAGAGAGAGAGAGAGAGAGAGAGAGAGAGAGAGAGAGAAACCACTCGTTAGAGATTGCATGATTACATTCAAGATTTATCTTTTCTACATAGAAAATCAACGACATCATCGTCATTTGGGGTAATTAAAAGAAATCATGATTATTGCTAATTATTCTGGTTATTCTAAACTTATTCACTGCCTTTGTGTTTTGCGCATTTGGAAAAATAGAAAAAAATTGTAGAAAACTACATTTTTTTCAATTTCTCTCAATTTTTTCTAGTTGTTTTTTTTTCACTCGATTGATAATCCAACGCAGACAGAGTTCTCAAGTCAACACTGTTTTCCATACTAAACACAGACAAAGTGATAAAAATCTCCCCCTTTTTAATAAAACTGCCGGTAGTCTCTTCCAATAAGGAGGTCTTGAACAAGCTATGGACTAGCCAATAACTTGCCTTAACAACCAAATTTTTTTCCCATAATTTCCTATCTTTTCAATTCCACATTTTTCCGGCATGGATAGCTCCAAAGAGATCGAATGCATTGATTGTGCACCGTCCAACGTTCACACCACATTCCAAAAAAAAAGTGGAAAAAACTAAGTCACTCACCTGCAAATCATGAATCACTAGTTGATATTTATGCAGAACGGCTTGTACGGCCGAAATGGTACCCTCGGCGAATGCTTGTGATGTACGAACGCCGCCACGTTTCGGTGATTTTGGTGGCACTGGTAGTGACTGGGTGAGATGCATGTGTTGTGCATCGACAAAGCCACCGTCTTGTTTTGATTCGGCATCCGAAACAACAATGTGTGCAATGTCCCGTAGTGCGGTGTTCAAGCGATCGATTTCATCGAATAAGCGTGTATTTTGTGCGGCACTATTCTCCGCTTCCAAGCAACGGGCTTCCCAATTTTTCAAATCGACCAACACATTTTGAAGATGTTGTTCACGCTGTGCCAGTTCATGTTTGAATGTTTCATTCTGTAAATTCAGCGCATCGACTTGAGCTTTCAATTCTTGATTCGCACGTTCGGCTTGCGTTTGATAGGCTTCCTCGTGTTGGGCATGCTGTCGAATTTGCTCGGCAACCGAACCGCATGCATTGGCCAATTCACGATTTACACCCGATATTTCTTGTTGCATTCGGCTCAAATCCGATTTCAAGGTAAACTGTAAATCACGGAATGATTTTCGCACTGAGCCCACGTCCTGCCACATTTCAATCAAACGATTTTGCTCGGAACTGTAGTAATCATTGAACGCCTTTGGAGGAAATGAGCGAGGAAGAGAGAGAGAGAGAAATATATAAATAAAAGCAATGGATCGCGTAAGTGGTAACATAGGACAATTTACCTGTTCCTCTTCTTTCCATTCGTCTTCTTTGTGTGCCATATCATCACGCATATGCTCCCAATCGATGGTTAACTTGTGCAGGTCATTTGTTAACGCCAAATTTGTTCGATGCGATTCGCCGAGCTGATGACGCAACTGCTCATTTCGTACCATCAAATGTTCACATCTGAAATTATAATTATCATTCAACCATATCCCATCGAGATTCGGTTATTTTGTTGTATCAACTAAAGTTCATTTAATTTTTAATGATATGAAATGATAGAGAATTTAATGTTTGGATATTTGTTTAGATTTGGTTCAAAATTCTATCCAAATTTCGTTCAGTTAACATTTTCTTCAGTTCAGAGCTTCTGTTAGTCACCTCAGTTTAAAATTTGAATCTTTAAAATTCAGTTTCTCTTCAAATCCGACTTATTCGTGATAAATAATAGAAAAACGAAGTGCATGAACTTACTTGAGTTTATCACTTTCCAGCTTGTTGAGGATATCGTCCTGAGCACATGGCACACTGAATTCTTTGTTTTGCTCGGCTGTTGTCATGCACGGCAAACTCATCGGCGGTGCATGACCGCCTGCATATTGACCACCCCCGTATGACTGCACGGTTGAATACGAGGCACGGAAGAAGAGAGTTAGAGAAATAGAGAGAAGGAGAGAAAAAAAAGAGAGAGAAAACAATGCTCATTAAACATTCATATGGTCTTAATTCAAACAAATAGAACACTGCGCTACTATCGTGTCTCTCGATTATTTGGGTTTTTAAGGAACCACCACGTTTTTTGGCGATTTGTTTTGGCCATTGGAATATGAAGATCTTTTGTTTTGGCCAATTTTCTCCCTTTCAATCTACTGACTACAAGAATTATGACTCAACCTACTACAAAATGTCCAGTTTTCAAGCAAAAATGATAAAAATTCGAGTGTATTTTACTTGAAACGTAAATGTATGGGTTGAAATACCTAGCTTTTATGTACAAGGTATGTTTTGGAGTTATAAATCACAACAAAAGATCGTAAAAAATGGACAAATCTCTTTTTTTTACTGAAAATTGACTCCAATTTTGTATTAAAAACCCATAAATCGATTAAAAAGTGTCCTATTTCTTCAATAATATCCTATTTTCTTCGAAAAAATGGCAAACTTTCTTCAAAAATACGCAATTGTTCTCTCGAAAATCATAAAGTTGAAAAACAGTCAAAAATTCCCAAAGAAACGAATAAAAAAAACTCCATACCTTAACCGGTTTTGGGCTTGGCGGTCCAACGGGGTCACACATTCGATCCTCTAGGTCGTTGCACTTCTTTTTATATTGCATAACTTTCGATTGAAGACGGGCAACGAGAGCCGCTTGATTCTGTTGGGCCTGTTTGTATGTGTCCAAACGGCGTCGATAAAGGGCTGCATCTTCTTGCAATCGTTCGCGCAGCTCTTGATTTTGTCGCTGCAACGAATTTGATTCCGGCCCGGAGGACGAATGCTTTGGCGAGTGTGCCATTGCTTTTGCACTGTTTCCACCCTCGAAACGGCTCCGTCTAAATGGTGGTTTTGCCTTTCGTTCCGCTAAATCCGAATGATGAACATTCCTTCCAAACTAACACAGAAAATATTTGAAACGGATTTTTAGAGAGTTTTTTTTTTCGTAGAAGGAACGAAACGTTTTTTCGATCAACGAACAATGTTCATCGAACACTAATTCTATATTTATATTTTTTTTTAATACACACAAATTGAACAGTAAAAGAGGTCATACACAATAGTTGAAACCGTTTTTAGTGGATTTTTTAAGGGAATCTACACGATTTGGTCCTTTTGTTACAACAAATTTGACATTTGATTCTTTTATTCACACTCTGAGGTCATTATATTCAGCTTATGATGGATTTCACGCGATTTTCAAGGGAATTTTCGATACGATTGCAACAACCTAATATTGACTGAGTTGATTCATCGGCTTTCATAAAAACGTTTTCAGAAGAAAAAAAACTGCTTTGAAGCCGAAGGGTTTGAGAAAAAATTCATCACAAATGAACGGAATTCACAACGGACTCGCACAATTTGAACAGTTTCATTGTTGTTTGAGCAATCAAACTCAGTAAATTTTATTCAATTTAGTTTGAAATGCCAGTTTTGTCGAGAGTTTCAATCGTGTGAATGAATTTTATTCAGAAAAACCAAACTCCAAATGTCAACACAGAAATGCAATTTTTATCTCGATCAAATCACAAAATTGTACAGAGCCAAACAAATATTATGAAAAATTCCAAATTTTAAATCGAATTCAAAATTAAATGGTTCAAAAAAGAAAAAGGAGCAACAAAGCGGCACAAATGTTTGACGAATGACGATTAAAGGTGAATGTGTGTGCCAAGCGATAGTTGTGTCAAAACTGGCGAGTCGAGTCCTAATTGTTGTGTGTGTTCAGTGCCAATGTATTTTAAACCATATGGTAGTTTTTTTTCTCTTTCTCTTTCGCTTTCGCTGTGTAACCGAATTTCCCCTTTTTATCGGTGTGTAGTATGCAGAGGGCGGCCTCAATACCAAAACAAATACTATTAATTGTAGATTGTGGTTGAGTTTCGTAGAAAAATAGCATGAGTACCGCAAGAAAGGTAGAAAAAAGAAACGAAAAAAGTACACCCGTTTGTATTCACGTAGTCGAGTGAGCGGAGATCACCGTGGATACGAGTCAAAACGAACGAAACAAAAAGTTGTACACACATCGCGTCGGTGGTGAGTGTAACGGTGAATGGAAAGGAATGGTGTGCCGTAATAAAAGTGCATCGCGCTTGAAACTCGGTGTTTGCATGTTTTTTTCGATCATTCGAATTCTTTATCGTGCGTCCATCCCCCACTTGTTTCGGTGTGAATGATTCTATCGTTTAGTTTTTTTCGTTTCGCTGTTGTTATTGTTCAACAAAGTGTTCTAAACCAATTACTACGCGCTGAGTAAATCAATCCGTTCCGCCGGTTCTTATTCTGTCAATCAAAAAAAAAATGTGTAAGAAGTTTGGTGAACCGTGTTTTCCCCAACGGTTATTACTTGGCCACAACTTCCGAAATGCTAAGTTAGCATTGCTAACTGATCATAGCAATTTCGCATTTCTTCACATTTCAAAGTGTGCAATTTGCGATTCTTTGCAATTTTATTAGCCACAACCGCCTGTCCATGATTCAATTCGCCTTTTGTAAAGTATGAAACGAAGCGTTCTCGGTACAAAACTCTTGTTAGCCACAACCAACAACTTCTTTCAGCTACAACAGCAACCTGGCAAACAGGAAATCCATGCGTTCATTGAGTTTCTCCACTATTTACTCAAACGATGTACGCCTTGACGCGCTCCGGTGTCGATGTGGTTTTCCTGTGTTGAGAGATCGTCTTGTAGACGGGCGCACACACATATCGAAGAATACATAATCGATTATTTGACTTAGCACGCATGTTACTGACTGTCACCACTATCTGATATTGTTCAAAACCACTTTTACCATTTTCTTTTCCTTTTTCTTCTTCTTCTTCATCATTCTGACTGTTCCTCGTCATACGAAACGAATAAATAAATATGACAATAGGAAATAAATGCAAATCGTGTTTGAAAATACACAAAATTATTGTCAATCAATACGCGGGTAGAGCAAAGAATGTGGAATTTATATGCCGTTTTTATTAATATGCCAAACTTCTTTTTTTTCTTCAGAAATTGTGCTGTTGTTGCTGTTGTTGTTGTCAAGAAAGAACAACAAACTTTCAAAAGAAATGAATCCATTTAATTGTGCTTGAACGCTAAGTATCAAGGTTTATTTTCAGCTGCTGCTGCTGCTGCTGCTGCTGTCGCTGCTGTTGTTGCCATGAGGAAAGTAAAGGGGCGAACATTTAAATCACAAGATATTCAAATCAGCGATGGCATAATTGGCTCAACAAACGGATATACCCAACCGCACAACAACTCAAGTACACGACCAACTTTCAAAGCCATACCCAAGAATTTCCTATCGAAATACAATCAAACCATTTATTTTATGATTATGTTCGATTTTTTTTTTATAGCGAATTGTTTTCAAATTAATCATTTTAAATAAATAGGCTTGTGTGTATGTGTGCCGCTTAAAGTAACTTGCTGCTGTAATTTCAAAGTCATTTCCGCTAAACGATTTCGACTTGTTTCTTTTAACGAATTATTTCATCGTATGAAATAACGTAAGCGCAGTAGATACACGAACAAGAGAAACTTTATGGAAATGTGATGGAGACTTATCTACATCACCATGCGCACCACAGCTATTTTTGACTTTAAATCTACATTTGGCATGTCAGCTCGCTGTTTTAATCATTTCAATTGTGAAAAACAACCATGTTTTTAGAAATTTCAAATGTGATTTGTTTATTATTCATCAGCAGAGAAGATAAAAGTAGGCTCGCAAAAATCGAAGAGTCATCACTCGAAGAGCTATAATTTCTCAATCAAACGTCCTAGATAGATGCCATAGCTCGCATTTCTTAGCTTTGGAGGTCAGCTTTGAAACCACATATAGCTAAACTTGAATTCCTTTTTCGAATAGTAAGTTTGCAAGACGAATACGGATGTTTGCCCCTGCAAGACGACTAATTTTTTTGAGGTCTCTGGTCCAAATTGCGACTCGAAAATAGCTATAATTCAAGTTTAACTATATGTGGTTTTAAAGCTGACCTCCTCAGCTAAAAAATACGTGCTATGAGATCAATCTAGGACGTCTGGTTGTGAAATTATAGCTTTTCAAGTGATGACTCTTTGATTTTGCGAGCCGACTTTTATCTTCTCTGTATCATCAGTATAATATGAATTTGTTTACTCATTTTTTTTTTTACTTTTTGAATAATGCTTTACTTTTGACTGATTCATTGCGAATTTTTGCTTTGAACATTTTCATATTTGAATAATATTTCTTTCAAATTTCATATATGATTCAAGTTTGAATTAATGATAAAATTTCATGGAACCATTTTAATGCCGAACTAAATGTTTGTAAGAACCATATATTGAGTAAGTATTTTTTTTTCTCCAAATATTATTTTTCTTATGGATTTCTTTTATGAAAGTGTTGATATACTTAAATCATCGAACCAAGAATTTAACAGCTGATTCTATGAAAAGCATAACATAACTGTTCAAATAACATCCTTTACCAAAATTAAAATGGAAAGATTTGAGTATAGGTTAAAAGTATTAGGTGCTGTAATTAAAAATAAAAAACAAATCAATCTCATATTTAAAATTAGCCCATGTGAAAATATTGTAACTGTGCAGACAGTTAACTGATTTCGGACAAAAATGACTTTCTTTGATTGACATTTCAGTACAAAGTGAAGTTTAAGTCTATCATAGTTTATTGAAATTATTTGAAGTTACAAGTCAATCTTAGTTGCTTAATTTGGGACAAACTGATTTTCTCAGAACAAAAACATAAATTCAATCAACTAAAGTCAACTGAAGTTATAGTCAGTCAGTCATTGTTTTTTCACATGAGAGTTTATATCTTTCATCATGATTCCATCTTAAGAGGGATCTTAAGGGGGGAGTAAAATATTTTTAGACAATTTTATCTTTAAAAAGTCAGACTTACTGTAAGGGTTATGTGTTAACTAGGCATTTCATTAATTATTACCAAAAAATATTGAATCGAACTAAAATTGGTCCGGATGAAGCAGACTCAAACAAACTTAAACTCTGGTTTTAAACAAGTTTGAACATTCTATATGGGGCTAAATTTGTTTTTTTTTTGCGACTCGTATGAAAATTTGTGATGAGTCCATGTGAATCCAGTACGAATCGACATTTCGATGTATGCTTTGTAAATTGATGTATGATTGCATGACTATTTTTAACTCGCGACGACAAATAAACTTTAAACTGTGGAAATTGATGAAGCCAAAGAAAAATTGTGGAGAAAAAGAATTCGAGTGTTTTCAAAATGTGGGTGATGAACTAATTAAATTAGAGAATTAAGCCGAATTTTCGGGAAATTTCTTTGAATCGGACTTGAGTTTTGTCAAAAATTTGATTTCAAAAAAGCTTAAACACTTCACGTTTTTGGCAAATGTGAGGAGGAATGTGAAAAAAATCATATGACGGCCTGAGAAGAAGAACCTTTCCTAGGCCTACTTATACGGAGTTTGCATGCTAGTAGGCTTGTTATACTTTTGCGCTCGCTGTAAATATATTAGGTTTTTGCGCTCGCAAATTTGCTGTTCGCCTCATGACTAAAAAATTTCTGTGTTTGTGTTCTGCGCACAGGTTTTGTAGGAAAGGTTTTTCTACTCAGGCCGTCATATGAAGCTTACAAAGCTTAGTCTGGTCTCATCAAAGCCAAATACTTTAAAGACCTTACTAGTTCTGTCGCACCATTTCTTAATTGAACCTTTTTTTGAAAATTCCTCTTTGAATGAAAATTGTGTTTGGGTGTTGAAAGGATTGCAACACTTGTACTCCATCAAATTTTAGTGCAGAATGAATCATCAGTTGAATGATGATCAGTTTTGAGATCTTTTCTCATCTCATTCACTCTACTGCATGGCCAACAAGCCGTTAATTCCTTAGATTTAACACTTTTTGCCATGTATCAAACGTGCATACCTCGATAGGAATTGTTCAATGGAAATCACGACATTTCCACTTGGTTACTACATTTTAGGAACTTGTTTTCATACACGAATAGTCAATACCATCGATTTCTTAAACAAAATAATCAGCATCTTACCTGAGACATATTCTGTTAAGTGTGTAAAATTGCACAAATCCACAAACGTATTCAGACGATTCGAATTTATCAGGGAAAAATGGACGGAATGGTCGATAGTTCCCGCGTGTGTGAAAAAAAAACTACGAACTTTTTTTTTTGTTACTGCACCTAATACTTTATGATTTATGCGAAACACGGCATAAAAAAACTAGGCAATAATTATGTGTGTACTTTTTTTTTTAATTTTTTTTTTCAAGCGAATGAAAAAGAAGTGAGTGTGTGTCGTTTTTTTCTTTCTGGTTCGTATTTTAACCCTGATAATAGCGAATTCGTTTGACAAATAAAAAAAAACTCAAACTGAGCTCCAAGTGGTGCTCAACTATTCAAATCGGATCACAGAAATCGTCTGAGTCCATTGATCGAAATTTAGTTGTTATAAATCGGTTTACGTGTATTGTCTTTACGCAAAGGAAGAAGCGCCGAGTGAACAGCAACCGAATGAAAAAAAAAAATCAGAACGAAAATTTGCCGTTTGTAGTTAGTGGCAACGGAAAATTTGTTTTGCTTTTTAATCTTGGTAAAACATGCAATCGAACACGAGCGCGCGAGCTAAGAAAAAGCCTCCTTCTCGCCTCACACCGCGGAAAGCACGGAAAAAAAGACGATGAAGAGAGAGAGAGCATACACAGCACATCGAATTCACCGATTTTGCCGAAGAATTTGCATAAATCGGCGCTCAGCAACAGCAGAATGGCGAACCACACTCTGCCATTCGAAGGCTCTGATTGTTATCCACTCTTCATTCCGTCGGCGGGTGTCTGTGTGCGCCAACTTTAAATAATATATTTATGCTGTAATCAAATATTTGAAATCACAAATGCGTCTTGAATCGAAAATAGACACTAAACGACTTCTTTTCTCTCATCGATTCCATCCTTCTGCTTCAATTGGCCCTTTTTTTCGCCACATTCTCAGTTGTTATGTAAGCAAACGAAAAAGTAAATGCACGAGCCAACATGTCATTACAACAGCAATTTATTTGCAGTTTGGATTTTTGATATTGATAAATCAATTGCGATTCAGTATATTCGGCATGCTGCCGCCGTCGTTGTACTTTACTATCCGATGACAGAGAGAGAGAGAGAGAGAGAGAGAGAGAGAGAGAGAGAGAGAAAGAGAAAGAGACAAACTTGCCATGTCATCGAAAAAACTTGGCAAAAAAACTATGCCTCGAATTGAAATATATTTGTCTGTTCTATTTTTTCCTTATTCTTTCTTCAGTTTGATGTATCAATCGCATGGCTTCGATGAGCAAAAGGAGTTTTAGCTTGTTTTGTCGAATTTTCAATCTTTGCAAAGTCTTTCTTTTCATTACTTCTTCCATTTGTCCAATTTTTTTCACTTTTCTCAAGTTTTTCCACATATCGCAAGATGTTCACACTTGTTCAAGTTTTCCGCCTTTTTTTTTCTCTCATTTCATTCTATTTTTCAATGAACTTTTTCGTTCTTCCCTCAATTTTCAAATTTCGCCTTTTTATCCCATTTTTCCTAATTTTTCCATTCCATTCTTAATATATTCTATTTCGCGTCCCGTTTTCAACGTTCAATTTCGCTTCGCTTCCTCCATCTCGCTCATTACCGTTTCAAATCCGAATCCTTCAATCTCGCTCTTTTGTGTTCCAAAATCACTCGACATCAGCCGATTTTACGCACATGCCGCATATTTTCCACACTCTCTCACTTGCCCTCACTCATGAATGCCTTTCATCTCGTCGCTCTCGCAACAAAAAAAGTCGGCTCCAATTCAATTTGTAACGTTTCCAAATTGCATCAGCAATTTTTTGCCACCCGCTCATCTTGGCACTGAATTTGTGCCTCTTGTCGTTGGTACGGCCGTAAATCCAATTTACTTAAACTAATTAGTAATCATAGGCGCTGCTCATTTTTTATGTCTATCTATCACTCTCGTTGCTCTCTATCTCTCCTATCTTTATCTCCCTCTTCTTCTCCTCTCTCTTTCTGTCTCGAAAAGAGACTCACTCTGTATGTCTTTCCCTTTCTCTTTCACTCGTCCACAAGCCGCATACATCTAGCCGAGTCTGTTGAAATGACCAATCAAACGCGTGCAAATATTTGATGAGCATAATTGAGCTCTATGTTTTTCGATCGTCTCTAACTCTTTTTGCTGTGCATCGCAGTAAATATTTACCAACTGTGAATGTTATCATATCTAGGCATTTCGGAGCGAGAAAAAAAGTTATCATCAAATTCTTTCAATTCCATCTTCGTTCGATATCGACATGCATACACGCATATAAACAGACACATCGAAAAATAATGCTTGGCAACACTTGGTATCTATAGTGTGTATTCAAATGATTTGCTTGTTACACAATTATCGACTGGAGTCCGAAACTCGATCCAATGACGTGCAGTGATTCAACCCGACTGAATTTATTCATTGCGTGATTCAAGATCACTTCGTGGAAAGGCAACCGATTGTGTAAACAAGAGAAGAAGAAAAAAAAAACAATCAAAATAAAACATCGTATGACACATACGCGCTGCTGTGTGCCCGATGGACGTTGATCGGTCAAATGTGCATAATGCAAATAGTTGTCGGCTAAATGAAAACTCGACCAAAACCGAAACGAAAATGTTAATTGATCATAATATGTTGAATAAATTTTTCACCTATTTCCCATGCCCTCCTCAGACTAGGCGTACGCCTGTTCAATAAAAAGCAGCACACAACACAGCAAATGGAATAGAGAGAGAGGGAGAGAGCGAACGAAATGAATTCGAATATTAAATTCGATTTAAATTCAAATTGAGTTTAATTGCCTCAGAAAGTCATGATTCAATCGTTTTTGTTGCAACGGCGATGTGTGTCGATAGCGCGCCGTTTGAATACATGCCCATTGTCAATTAGAAGTTTGCATTTGAATGAACGGTTTAAATATGGATGCATCGGCTTGTTATCGACTCATTTTGAATGTTCTGAGCGTACCGAACAGCAATAATCGAAGCAAAAGCAACAGCAACGAAAAAGGTCGGCCGACAAAATCCCAAATTGACGATGCAAAAAAAATCATCGATCATTACATTTGGCAGTAATGATATGCTGGAATGAGTAAATTTGTTTTTTTTTACGATTAAAAAAAAAATCCCTAACAAAACGGCTGAATCGAGCCGAATGCTGTTTGCCGCAGCATCCGTGGCTCGATGCAAGGGCAACGACAACAACAGCAGTAGCTGAAGCAGCAGCAGCAGCAAAATGTGCGCACAGCGCGCATGTGTCGCTTCGACCATACGGCACATCATACGCGTTCGTTTATCGCGTAATAATCACCGAACAGAGAGAAACATACCAGGGGCCACCAGTTTCCATGTCTCATATACGTATGCGACAGCGCTGTGTTTTGTTTATAGTCAAAGTGGCCCGTACAGGCCACCCGACATCGATATCATACACACGCACACTGGCACACCCAATCGCAGCACAAAATGATTCATTTTTGTGCTCCTTATGCTCCATATTCCCAAACAGCCGTGCGCGTATTTATGTGTGTGTTGCCGTTGTTGTCGCATGCATAGCGACCAATTCGACTCCTGTTTCGCCCTGTGTTCGACTCTCGCTGCCTCTCTGTGTGTGCGTATGTTTCAACGAAAAATACTTGAATTTTGATTTGTTTGTGTGGCACACGCACACACACACACACACACACCATCATGCATATACATACGCACCCAAAAAATGCCTCATGCAGTGAGTCGAACGCGCGCAATACAATACGCCCGAAAATGAAAGAGAGAGAGAAACGTATACCAGTGTGTATGTGTGTAAGTGCTATTTCAATACATGTCTCGCTCGGTTTGTGCAGCTAACAATCTCGTTGTTGTTTTGTGTATTGGGTATCTCGCGCGGCGCAGCGCACAGCGTCAATGACGAGGCGTACATACACGAGGCAAGAGAGTGAGAGAGAGAAAGAGCAAGAGACAGACAGAGAGGGAGAGAGAGAGCGCGCAACCGAGTGTGTATACTCGTATATCCAGTTATCGGTTTTCAGTGCAACGCAAGCCACTGAACACGGAATATTATTTTTCAGTTTTTACTTGTTTTCATTATATATATATATATGTATATTATTGTTGTTTTCTTCATTTTCGATGCGATGCAAAAAGAAAAAATAATTAAAAAAAAAATTATTAATCAAACAGAAAAACCGAATCGAATCGAAAACTAAACAAGAACCAATATTCTGTGCCGTGTGAAAATCAAATTGAGACACAACTACATTCGCATCGAAAAGAATCTCGTTCGAAAAGTGACAGAAATTTTTTTTTTCCAGCCAAAAACGAAAGAAACAGAGAACGACGACGACGTCAACGACAAGACAATATCACTTATTGGTTCTCGTTTAACAAACAACAACAAAAATACGGTTGCCCAAAAAAAAAAATCACCAATTTTCGTGTGTGACCTGTGCTGTGTGCGTTTTCAATTTACATTTTTCGTTTTAAAAACCGACCAACAAACATTTTATTTTCTTTTTATCGTCGCACTTTCTTTTCTGTTTCTCTTGTCTGTTGTGGGCCAAAGCTGCCAAGTTTCCAAACGAACGAAGAAGAAAAAATATTCTAAAGTTTTGACTTGATTTAAACATTGTTCCAAGGGACTGTGTACAGCAGCAGCAGCACCAGCACCAGCAAAAAAAAAGAGTCAACCAAACAGCAGAAGCAGCTCAGCCTAAGCGAAATTAGTTAACTTTTAGTGTGTGCCTCCGGTAGTGAATGTTCTCTTGTGTGTACTTGTGCGTGCAGATTCACTTCGCCCAAATCAATTAAAAACAAAACCTCTTCATTTCGGTCGAATGGCAAAAAACAACAACATACAATTGATTATTGTTGTGCATCAACAATAATAGTAATAGACGACAAGGGAAAAACACATTCGCACACACACACACTCACATACACACAAAACGCTCTCTGTGTATGCTCTTTTTTTCGTGCGTTTTTTTTTTTCATTTCGTTGAAATTGTGAGTTTAATTGTTAAGTCGGTGGTATCCCACATTCCAAATGCCATAATCTAATTCAAATAATTGACATTGTGCGCGAGAGAGAGAGAGAGAGAGAGCCAACCCAAAATGGGAATTGTGTTGTAGTTTCGGTTCAACAGCAAAGCTGTTTTTTTTTCTTCATTCAACTCTACGTGCTTTTTTTTTGCGAATCAATTGATTTGATTGACGAAGCAAAACGCGAACGCGGAACAGAAAAAAAAAACACTAAAAACAACAAACAAACAGACAAATCCAAGTTATTAAAAAGTAATGTGTGTGTGCACAGTTTTAAATTTCGGTAAAGTGCGCGCGATGAACGAATCAGTTGTTGTTTATGTGGTCAATTGAGAGAAGTGAGTGAAAATAGCCAAAGTACCAAGGAAGTGAACCGAATGGTCATTGTGTTTCGCGTCATCTTGTTTATTGTGATTTGCTGCACTGGTTGGAAAGATGATCGAACAAAGTAGCTCTCACCAAAAAGAATCGTTCCAACAGTCCACGCACATTAAATGAGATTCTCTTTTACACACAACGACGTGAATTCAATTCGTTTCTCGCCCGCAGAATACATGCAATTCAAAACATACCAAAAACAAAACAATGAACACACTCATTTCTATAACGTAATCAGTTTACGGTGCATTTTTGGTGAAAAAAAAGAAGAAGACAGAAACACGCAGTTTGAATTGAGAAATAAACAGAAGGAAAGCGCAACGACCACAGAAGAAAGAAAATGAACAAATTCGCTGTTTCAGTGTAAAATCACTGCCAATCGCCCAGCTCGCTCGCGCGCGCACCTTTTCGATTGTGTGCTGTGCGTTCAAAAACAAAACAACAGAGAAAAAAAACGAGTCACAAATGCACTACGACCGAATGCAACGCATTGAAAAAGGAACAACTGGCACCATCAACCATCAACGATTTGCAAGTTTCGTTTAACAAACGGAAATTCACCGAAAATTATTTCGACAACAACAGCAACAACAACAACATCATACACGGCCATCAATATTTAAAGCAAAAGAACGACCGACCGAGAATTTTTTTTAGCTTGAAACAAAAAAAAAGAGGCAGAATTCCGAACAACCTTCATCATAATAAACAACGTTTTGTAGCGTGAGACAGACATACGGTGTTTGTATGTGTGCTGAGAATTAAGCAGAAGGAAAAAAAAAACAGAACGAACGAGTTACAGTCATCATTTCATCTTAACAACAAAGCCGCACAATCATGTCTACCCGGTCGCAATTAACAAAAGACTTAAACGGTAAGTTTAATCCCCATTTATTTGCCATGTTGTTTTTTTTTAGAGAGAATGAGACGTGATTTGCTTCTTCACTCGCTCGATTTGTTGCAAATGCATTCTACTCAGCTCATCAATCGATTTTTTGAAGACTTGACAAGAGTCAAAGTGCAAACCGACCTGGAAGTGAGACTCTGCTAGGCTCTTGGTGGATCTTTAAAAATTTATAACCATATGAAAACATAATATTCTCATCAAAATTTGTGCATGAATTGCGATGTCATCGCCGTCGTCAGTGGCGTACGATTGTCATTTGAGTGAGATAGGATGGGTGAGAGTTAGAACGATAAAGAAAGAGCGAGAACAAGAGGGAGATAGAGAGAAAGAGAAAGCGAAAAAGAAAACGTTCATCATGGGGGCCGCTCAAACATAAATGGCGAATATCTGTCCTCCGTTTCTCTCGCATATGATACAAAAATATGTTGTGTATGCCGCGCGCCACAAATCATCTCGTTCATTTTATCTCGCTCTCTCTCTCTCTCTCTCTCTCTCTCTCTCTCACACACTAACTCCCGTGAAATGAATCTCAGTATGTGTGTTTGTCAAATCAAAACCATGAAATGTGTGTTCGCTGCGTGTTATGTTTTGTCATTTGGGAATAAAAATGGACTCGGTTTCGATACTACTGCTGCTGCTGCTGCTGTTGTTGTGTGTCTTGTCGACGCAAAAGTGTTCTTAATCCATCCGAATCGGGTTTTCGGGATGCTCGGCACTTTTACTATATTTCTAATTATGTAAGCGAATGAGTCATTTGTCAATGTAGTGGTGCGGTGTTGTTTATTACTATTGCCATTGCTTGCTTCTCTTGTCTTGCTTTTTTGCTCTAGCATCGCATAAAAACGCACATACACATACACACAGACACACATACATGAGCGCACAACTGCATCCGTTAGTCGAAATCAGGGTACGTGCATCAACAACACCCATCTCCTTTTACATACATTCTTTCTCTGTGTACACGCACATCCTTTTGTAAAACAACAGCAAATCCATCCGCTTTTTTTTGCTATGCAATTGATTTGCTTTCTTTGGAAACAGTAACGAGCCTTTACTAAAAAAAAGATAAAGATTCAACAATGAAATTCGATTTTCTCAAAACTCGGAACGAAATTCGAATTCGTTTCAAATTCGTGAAAGAAATCGATCGAGATTCGATATGGATTTCCACAGAATATTCATAGATTTGACTCTTTCAAAATTTAGCCAAAGTTCGACTGTACACAAATTTCGAGATTTCCTCTGCATTCAAGCGACTATTATCGGTCAAATGTGCACATGTTTTCATTCTTATCAATCCTCGGAGATTTGTGTACTTATCAATTCTTGTAAGGATATGATGAATTTCTAGTGAATTTTTTTTTTTGACGGAAATTCCCAAAAATAGAAATGAGTTAAGGAAATTTGACGTGATTCACAGAACAAGTGATAAAATTAGATCAAATTTTGAAAGGCATTATCAAGGAATTGTACATTTTTGTCAAAAGTAGCTTGATCGGTTCGGTGTTGTTTGTTGAGTTTGTTTAGAGTTGTTCAATTTATCGAAGTTTGAAGTTCGCTCCTTTTATGGAAGTCCATTTCCAAATGAAAAGCAATTCTAAATCGAAACAAATCCAAATGAGAAAAAAAAACCTCAACATAAAAACTGAAACCGAATCGAAAAACACCACACGTAATCATACCAAAAAATGTGTGAATTGTTAAGCTAGGTGGATTTTCCCATGCCCGTACGAGTTCGCCAGTCCGAATGACGTTTGCGCGCGCGCGCGCGCTCACACACAAATCGAATTTCAATTATCACATCAAATGCACGAGCATTATGTAATGTGCAACTTTATGCAACAGCAATTCTCCGTGTGCTGCTTGTATTTCTCTTCTATTTTTGTAAACCGATTCATTGATCGAACGAGAATGAACAGAGAAAAAAAAAATGTGAAACGAAATCAATTAGAAGATCATCAGATGGGCGTAGAAAAAAAGAATGCACACATTGAAATGATTTTTTTGAATAAAATGTTTGCTTCGCTCTCTCTCTCTCGCTCTCTCGCTCGAATCGTTTCGAAACGAAAAGTGGAACATTCCATGATCTCACCCACTAAAACAGCTTGCGCGCGAATCAAGAGGAAATGCTACACTGAAATTGCCCATTTCAAAGGCAATTTCGAAGCGCATTTGTTAAAACACAATACGATGCACGATGAGGTAATGAAAGCGATTGCAATTATGAATCATTTTTCACACGCAAACCGCGAGCACAGCACACAAACGAGCAGACAAAACCCAACCAGAAAAAAAAACATCGTCGTTTTGTACTGTGAAATGATAACAACATTTTCGGTTGATTTCATTGCACACAGACAAAATAGTTGTGCCGAAGAAGGAAAAAAAAAACAACAACAAGCCGCTACCGAATGGCATAGCGTTGAACGAAAATTTCGGCATTTCGTCAAACATTCGAGCGCAACGCACCACGTGAAGAAAAAGATATATATACCCAATTAACCAGGCGCACACACAAAACAAAAGAAAAATTAAAGCCCCAAAGAATGAAATGAAAAGCAAGCGCGCAACAGCAGAAAGAAAAAAAAAATGGAGAGAAAAAACGCAACAGTTATGTTCATTAGTCATTTTTATTTATAATTCAGAAATTCTGAAGGGTAATTAAATTAACGCTAATTGTTTGCGACCATACATATTGAATTGGGTTTGTAGTGGAAGCGAAATGGAAACGAAAAGCAACAGAATGAAGAGAAGCAACCAACTCAATAACAACAAACCGCCAAACATGTATTATTATGTGAAATGGACAAATGTAGCGGAATTATTATAATAATCACCCGAGAGACACACAACGCCATTCATTCATTCATTCCACAAAGTCGAATTTATAAACATATACACCGCGAGCAAACGAGCGCACGAGCACACATAAATCGCTCACACAATTTATGGATGAATTGCTCGACATTTTATTTTTATTGTATTTTATTTTTCTGTTTGTTTGCACGGTTTGGCGTTGCGGGCGCAAAAATTTCGGTCAGCGACCGTTGAAAAGAAAAATCTCGGCTTTTATCGCAGCCGAAACACAGATGGAGTGAAAGAGATGGAGAGAAAAAGAAAGAAAAAGAAAGAAAAAGAATGAAAAAGAAAGAAAAAGAATGAAAGAGGAAGCATCAAGAAAGAGAACAAAGAAAGTTTTATTCGCATGTGGAGAAAGAATAAAACACACTTGATTCGGACATTATTTAAGCAATTCCGTTAGGCCATTTATATTGTCTTTTATTAATCGTCTTTTGAAGAGAAACGTTCAACAATTGAACCGAAAGATGAGCCATGTCTTTCGGATTGAATGGACCATCCAGAGAACGGGCAAACGATTGAAAGCCAGCGAGTGGGAAAGAGAAGAGAGAAATGATCGGGAAAGAGAGCGAGAAGGAGCAAAATTGTATGAAAGACATTGAAGAAAAGAGTTGGGCTCGAAATTCAAGAAAAGAGCTAGAAAGAGAGCGAAAAAGGGCCGAAAAAGACAGAAATGAAAGAAATAGAGTGAAAATATGGGAAAAAATACGCCAAAACGAAAAAAAAAAAACGAAGAAAAACCGTTCTATTCTTTCTTTCGAAAAAGAGACACAAATTGGACCAAAAACGGCGAGTGCACCTCTCAAAGTGAAAAAAAGGCCGAACGTTTGGTTATAATTTGCGTCATCAGCAACAAGTGATCAACGGCAAAATGGATCGCAATTTCCGGAATGAGCGTGCAAACGCATTTTGCATGCGCTGCGATTGTTGTGCATGTCTCTTGCTCTCTCTCTCTCTCTCTCTCTTTCTCCCTCTCTCTCTCTCTGCCTCTGCGTATGTCGCTCGTTTTCTTGAATGGCAAATTTCGAGCCCATTTAAAATGTTTGATTCAATTGTTGGGTTGTGTGCTGTGCAATAAAAAGAACAATTCGGCGCATTGCGGCGACTTGATTGCCACTAATAAAAATAGATCAACTGGTTTCGACTGAGTGATCAGTGATATTGTATGCTTACTGTCTTTGGCCGCATACACTCGAAATGATCTCGCTGCTGATTCAATTATAATAACAATGATTTGTTTCGTTTTATGATAGATAGTTATTGTTGTTCGACATTTATTGCTAATGTTCATTGTTTATGTGGTTTGTTTTCTCTTTATTTATTCCATGTGCAGATAGCGTCAAAGCATTGCTGGGTCGCCACACCAAAATTCTCATCAAATACATGGTGAAATTGGAGACAAAAGGTGACAAAACCGATAATCGTGTACTCGTAAGTATTTCTTTCATTCCGTTTTGATTATGTTTATTTTGTTTTTCGTTTCTTGTCATGTCCATATATGGTCGTCATCGTTGTCATCATTGTCGTCGTGAAAAAATCAAATATTTTGCGCATTCAATTCGCGTACGTGGATTTATGTGATGTGCCTGTTATGCGACCTTCATTCGATTTTGTAATGTTTACGTTCTTCTTTTTTCTAGGTTTTTACACCGGTTAGAATTTACTTACTAATAGCCAAAGTACCAACAAAAGTGAGTAGATTCTCTTTTTTTTCTATTATTATTATTCACATCACAAAACCGAAAAATTAACAAAACAACCATCTTTTTCTTTCTGCTGTTGTCATGTGTGTGTGTTCCATTAAGATCGACTGCCATTTTCATTACTTGGATATTCAGTCCGTTGAAAGCAAAGATTCGACACATTTTACGATCATTACAAATGATCGAGCTTATTCATTTGTTACATCCGGAGATGCTGGCAATTTCAGTTCGGTAAGCGAAACCAACACATATATCTATTGCTCTCTCGCTGTTTGTCTCTTTCACATCCACTTGCCCGTTGCTCTAACAACTTGTTTTCTTACCTGTGTGATGTGTATCTTTGCAGGATGCCGATGTTATTGTTACAGATTTGGCCTCAGCAATTAAACAAATATTTCCAACCGTTCCGTTGAAATATATCATTCGGAAGGTAATACAATACGCTTTTTCTTTATTATCATCATGTGTTTTTGTCTAACTATTACACATTTTTTATGGGTTTTTTCCTCCAACAATTCACCACATTTTACGATATTGAATTGAAGTGACTGGTACCAGCCAGTTACGCTTGTTTGAAAACATTCAAAGTTTGTGTCATATTTCATGGCGATTTTTTTTTTTGAGTAATTTTTCATGCCGAGCTATTGATGTTTGGTTGTTTAAAAAAAAAAAATAAAAGGTCTTTTGTGTGTATATTGACCGAAATTCATTGAACACGTCTCTCTTTTCATTCTCACCTTCCAATATCCGAAGATTGACATTCAACCAAGCGAACGAGAAGCAATATTCTCCGATGAACTACGACCATCGGATCCACGAAATGTTGGACCATGCGGCGGTTTTAGCAGACAATATGCATGCATGTGCGACTTTCACGGCATTACCTACAGGTACAATACTTGGTTTTCTTATTTAAATTTCGCCGAATTCGGTTTGAAGAAGAAAAAGAATCGAATTTGATTGAAATTCGAAGTAATTCGGAGAAATTCAATAATTTAGACCATTTTTCAACTCAAATTTTCTAAAAAAATTCCCTGTTGCATTACAGAGATGAAGTGGCTTGGGATATTGACACAATTTACCTGTCACACGATACACGAATACTGAATTTACGTGATTTCGATCACTTGGAACCAAAGTAAGTGAAACACAGGGAAATATTCACTTTTTGCGAACAACACGAAATTGAATGCAGAATGAGAACAACGTATGACACGTTCATACTGGAACATTCAATTTGACCACAGAAAGTTAAACCACGAAAATTAAATCAAAAAAAAAAAAAAAAAATCAGAACAAAAAAAATGAAACCATGATTTTATGCATAAAAACTGGACCAATAAATTCGATCTAAAACAAAACTCGAACCCATCGAAATTCTCCGGAGAAAAAGCTAATCAAACATTTCCCCCATTCACAGAGACTTAACGGCAATCGTATCGGCACTGGAATACAATACGTTTTTTCGCGGCTTAAAAGTCACACATACACGACTATCGCACGAAACGCTTGAACGAATACTTCATGTCCTTAGGCGATCGATGTGGTTGGAAGAGCTGCATCTTGAAGCGTTAGGATTAAGGTAAGAGATTGCCGATCTCAGATTGGGCGCATTGAATAAACTGTACTGAGATTTATATCTGATGTGATCTTTGGAAAGGAACACTCCACCCTTACACAAGTCACACACACATCCAATTAGATTTCAGAGATAAAATCTGTTTTGAAAATTAAACTTCAACTTGGAAGTCGTTCTCATTTCTCATTTTGAATTTTCAAACTCGAAAGTGTCAATTTGAGACAGTAAATGCTTGGGGAAAAAAATTCTTGCTCCTTGTTTTGGAAACCTTTTTTTTTTACAGAAATTTGAAGCCCTATCAATGCGTAAATTTTCCAAAAATATTCAATAATTTTCGATTTCTCCTAATCGTGTTTTCTTTTCTTCCATTTCGTTGTGTAGATCGGATTTTGTTCATAAATTAGCTGTATCTGTGATCACCAATAATAGTCCGGCACTTCGAACTATTGACTTAAGTCATAATTTAATTGAAGATAAAGGTAAGTGTTTCAATAGCCCTGTCCTAATGTTGATTCATTCATGGCTTACATTTTATCCATGTTTGCGTCTAACAAAATCATTTTCATTCCGAGTTAAAAATGGAAAACATCAATATTTCCATTCATAAATTCATTAAAAGCCATTTCACCCAAAATCGAACAAAGAATTTAACCAATTTTGGTAGAATAAAAAGGTATTTTAACATTGAAAGTCATTTGAAACTAAGCTGTCACATTTGAATGTATCCCATAGGTTCCACTTCGATATGTGCTCTTATTGGAAAGTTGGTGCAAGGTTTGACACGTTCATGAAAAACTCTTGCTTGTCTTACGTATTTGTACCTCAGTGTCTCTTTCTCTTTTCTCTCTTTGTCTCTGTTAATTTAGTGCTCTCATTCATATTCATGCAAAATCTAGATGTTATTTTTTAAACATATTGTTTGCGGCGTCATTTGTTACCAACCAAAAAAAAGGAAAAAAAAAAAACTTTTTTTCATTTGCTTCGAGTTTATATTTTGTTGGCATTGGATTCAATTCGAAACTATTCAATTAGAAAAGAACAAAAAAAAATTGCAAATTTTTTTTTATCTTGATGTAAAACATAACACCAATTTTGTTCCGTGCAATTGTCTCCTTGGTTCTGCTATTACCTAGCAACATTTTTCACACATTTATTTCTCTCTTTCTCTCTCTCTCTCTCTCTCTCATACACGAATGACCATTTTTGTTCATCATTACATGTCATATTCCGAAATTGCTTAGATGTTGAAGGCCAATGGTATTAGGTAATCAGATGATGCGCAAATGGTCTCTCTCTCTCTGTGTGTGTGTGCCATTGAACAAAGTTTGGATTTTGACACGCTAAATGATTACCTGATACCATTCGACTCGAATGGCTAGCTCGTTTCCGTTTCGTTGCAATGCAACACATTTCGTTGAACTGTTTTTTTTTCGTTTCGTTTTACATCTTTTTTAGCGATAGCTACAATTTTGTTCATACTCAACAATGCCACTCCATTCACTATTCTTTTAGAGAGAATGTGTAGCCTTGTTGTTGTAGCTATTCTTTTTTGTAATTTTTTCCCATTTGAATTTTTTTTTTAGACTTGTCGTTACTTTTTTATCCATCGTAATGAATGCAACTCTTTTTGATCTGTGATTGTTTTTTTGATTCCATTTTTTTTATTCTTGTCTTCACAGGCGCTGTTCATTTAGCCGGTCCGATAGCTAAAATATCTAAAGGTCTATGTCGGCTATCTTTATCACATTGTGGCCTAACAGCAAAGGGTGTCAATCAAATGGCTCATTCGTTGACATTGAATCAAAGCATTTCCAGTTCATTAACCTATCTAGATTTAAGCGGCAACAATTTAAAGGACGATATTAATGTGAGTATCATACGGATGAGGATTAAGTGATCTTGCAAGATTTGAATTTTCATCTGATATTTAGGGAAATTGAATAGTTTTAGGTGATTATTATCAAAATATTGAATTCTTATAAGAATTGAATTTTTAAGACAAATTGATTCTGAAGCCTTTTTTGCGCAGATTTCTTCTTTGAACCAACGACTGTCATGAAAACACAAAAGAATACGTTGACAAAAAACATTTGACAAAAGTCATTTCTGCCGACATAAAATGCAAGCTGACGACACTTCAGTGCAAACATCATTTGAGCGCTCGCAGCGCCACGAACTCTCGTATCATTTTGTATTGACTTTTCGATAGTTCATGAGTTCGCCGTAGACTTCGTCAAAACGTGTCGTCCCTTTGATAAAATGTAGGAAATTCGATTGGAAATAAAATTTTGCACCATTCATAGTCGCTCGATTTAGACATTTTATTGATTTTTATAGTTCAAGAAGTCGAAGTCAATCTAGAAAAAAATCTTTAAAAAATTAAATGATTTTAAAAATGAAACAAAAAATCAAAAAATGTCGAAAATAACAAAAAATCCCAAAGAAATATTTTGAAATCGATGGAAAGAAATTTACATAAAAAAATCAATTGAACCAATATTCTTTTTCAATTCATTCAATTCTTCAATTTGAAATTAAAATTTAAAAGAAAATAAAAATTGATTCTTTTTTAATAAAAAAAAAAATTAAATTAAATTTTGTTCAAGTTAAAGTAAATATTTGAATGTTTTTTTTTTCAATTTTAAAGTCTGAAAATGGGGACATCTTCAAAACCTAACAAAATCACGAATAAAATTCCAAATTCGTTTCTGAAGAAACGCTTTGAAAGCGATTTAAAAATAAATATTGACGAAAAATTTCTTTTCCCGTTTTTCATTGCAGAATCTATACAATTTTCTTGCTCAACCAAATGTCTTAGAGTATTTGGATTTGTCCGCAACGGATACATTTTTGGAGAACGTAAGTGCAATGTGATTTGATTTCATTTTCTATTTCTCAAGCCACTTCTCAATTGAATTCTAATTTTTTTTTTCTCTCTTAATTTCCAAATGGTGTGTGCAGTTATTCGGAGCCCTATTGCGTGGATGTTCAACCCATTTAACGCATTTGAATGTGTCGCACAATTTTTTCAATACGAAAAAAGGAAAAGAGATACCACCGTCGTTCAAGCAATTTTTCACCAGTTCGTTGAGTCTAAAGCATTTGAATATTGCATCATGTAAATTACCGCTGGAGGCGTTAAAGCATTTGCTGCTCGGTTTAGCGTGCAACGAGTCAACGGCCGGTTTGCATTTGGATTTGAGCAGTAATTCGTTGGGTGCACAGGGAGCGCATGTGCTGGAATCGTGCATACATGGTGTTCGTGTGCTTCAGAGTCTTGATATTGGCGACAATAGTACGTGGCATATTATCCTCCTCTCTTCATAAAAATTGTTTCCTCCACCCTAAGAATGATTTCCCTTCAAAAAATCATTATTTTTTATTAAAAAAAATGTATTTTCGGGTGTTTCGGTGTATGCGAATTTGATTTTTGTCACGAGAAATCGTTTTCAATTCCAATTTTTATGAATTTCATTTTTTGAAGATATTTTCTGCTCAATTTTCGTGCGTAAAGTAGTTCGCATGAGACGAGTCAAATGTGTATGGAAATGCGTGAACGAATATCACATTAGACTGGTGTTTTTGTTGAACCCATTGGTTCGATGCATTCGATTTGTCTCATTCGATGCTATTTATGCGATGAAAATTGAATAAATTACGTTGATCAATTCAATAAAACGGAAATTCCCTCGATAGATTTGGACTCGGAATTGGCATCGGTGTTGACGGCAATCGGTAAAAATCCATCGATAAAATCGCTGAACATGACGCGTAGCTTTGCGGGCATGAAATTGAAGCACATTGCAACTGTGATGGATGCGCTAGTCGGTTTGATTCAAAAAGACGATTTCCCACTCACCGAACTCATTCTGGCGGAAAACAAGCTCAAGAACGACATTCATGATTTCATAAATGCACTGGGTAGCAATCAAAGTCTGCAAAAATTAGGTGAGTCGATTGAACGCCTGATTCTCCCGTTCTCTAGTCTACACCCTCTTTCTCTGCTTGCTTTTTACTTCTTCCTCATTCTCTTCGTGTGTCTGCGTGAGTATGCTTCGAATTCTCACCTTGCCGGTAATTCGATTTGTACCAGCTGCAGGTGATGATGCGAGCAGCCACATCACAGCTCCAGACAAAGTCAGAGGAAGATAGAGAGAGAAAAACAGAATAAGAGCGAGAGAAAGAGAGAGAGAGAGAAAGATGGAAAAAGACAGGAATCGTGAAATTGAAAGAGAAAAATGGAGAAATTGAACGAGAAACAGTGCGAAACATCCAACAGATGCTCAAAACATATTCGCAATATTTTCAGATATAAGCGGTAATTTGATGGGAGACATTGGAGCAAGACTGTTAGCCAAAGCGTTGCAAATCAACAACAAATTGCGATCAATTTCGTTCGACAGAAACAACATAACATTACAGGGTAAATTGTCAACCTTTCATCGAAAATCAACCTAAAATCCAATTTCACTGACAAAATTATTATTTTCTCCTTTTTCTAATCGAATAAAAACCAAAAAAAAAAACGTTAGGTTACAATGACATCGTCTATGCATTAGAGAATAATTTTAGCATGCGAAATATTTTGTTTCCGGTGTTTGATATTGCGCCATGTCTCAAGCAACATCCGGAACGTACGGATTTTGTGATGCGTAAGATGCAAGAGTATTTGCAACGGAATAGCAATGGTTTCAAGCATGCTAGTGGCCAAGGTTTTCGTTTGCAGCACGGATTTTTGTTGTCGTCAACGCATCAATTGGTGGATAAATTGGTGTCCGAAACGCAGGAAACCATTTCATTTCGGCATGGCGGTCAAAATGTTGATTCAGCGGTGCAACGTTTGATCGATGATGCGGAGAATAGTAAGCAATTGTTGCCAAAACTGCAAGAATCCGTACGATGTGACCAGCATCCGATTGAAGTGAAATTGAGTCGCATGGCAAACGATTTAAGCCAAAACATTCGCAGCTATCTAACCGAAACGATGGAAACAATGCTACGAACGGGCGTTGAACAATGCCCGAAAACGCTGGGCAACCAAAGTGTTCTGAATGATTTACGGAAGAATTGCCAAGAACGTCTTCACATCACCGATGAATTTCTGCACACATGCATCATGAACAATGCCGGCGGCGAAATTATGAACAAAATCAGGTTAGCCAAAATGTTACACTCATATACACACACCGTGTACAGCACATTCACTTTCATTCGCACTGCGGAATGTTAATTCCGAGGCAATAAATAGCAAAATGATACACACCGCTTCGCCCAAACTGAATATTTAGTATTTGTTGCCGCTTGTTAGTGAATCTTTTATCTTTGTGTTATCAGTTTCACGATGACGCAGAGCATAGAAGTGCAAAAAAGACGAACAATGAATACGGTGTGAACGATTTGATATTGTGCGAACCAGCTGTGTCATTTTGCAATTAAATTTCATTTAGTCGACCGTGTTGCTTTATAGCAAATAATTAACACTGACATTGCATTGAATTGGGACTGTGTTTATTTTTTGTCGCTTGGCTATCGTTAGTTTTAAGGCCAAATTAGTTGCGTTGATGCTCCAAAACCGACAAACATGTGCGGCTGGTGTGCGTTTTGTTGTTATTGTTGTCGTCATCGCTACCAAGATCACGGATTACTGTAAAAAAAAACTGTTTTCAATTCTTGGTAATATTTTCTGACCAATTTTTCCTTTCCCCCTCGAATGACTGCAGTGAAGTGGAACAAAGCTTGGCAGGAACGATTGCAGACCGTGCTTCCGATGAAGTGATTGAAGCGTTGACACGATGCCGACGAGGTCTTGATATTTCCGATTCACAAACCGTTACATTCGAAAATGCCGAAACACCCGACATCGTACGTAGCCGATCTAGCCAAGACTCCATGGGATTCATACAAATCCGTGACTTGGACCTGCCACACCGAAATCTCGACTCACCAACGGTAAAATATTTGTTCTGAACTATATCGAAACAACAATCACACATCACACTTTCGATTCAGTTGAATTTATTTTATTTATTCTACTCAATTCACGCGTTCTCGTGGGTTTTTTTTTCTGTTCTTTGGTTTTTTTTTTTTTTTCTCGACTTTTTGTATTTTCTTGATATGATTTGGTATTTATCATTTCTTTGATTGCTGTGGCATTTAACGCTTGATATCAATTTATATGACTTGAATTTCAGTTGTGTGTTTTGTTTTCTCTTCTCATCTGTGCTACTTTTGACTCATGTTTCATGTTTATATTAATACACTCATTTTGTTGGCCTTTTTTGGAGGCTTTTCATACAGTGTTCGACCAGAGACTTTTAATCATTCGCTGGGCTGTGTTCATTTAGTCAGTTTTTTATTTGCGATTGAAGCGAGTGATTCTTTTTTATTATGCCATTCTTTTCTGATCTTTGGTCAACTATTGTGTCATTAGTGGTAATTTTTTTACATTTCTATAGTTAGTTTTATTTAGTTTTTCGAATTTTCTTTTGGTTTTTTTTTTTGCTTTTTTGCCATACTGAAGTTTTTTTCTGTCTTTTGAAAGTTTTTTTTTTCAACAAGTTTTTGCCACTTTTTTCAATTTTTGTGGATTTTAACCTTTTTTTTAGTATTTCTGATCGTTTTTCTGCCAAATTTTTGAACGATTCTATTTTGACTATCTAAATTCTTTGTAACTGCCCAAATTCAATACGAATTAACTTGATTTGACGTTCTTCAATGTAGTAATTTGTTTTGATTTTTTATCTCAATTCTTTTCTTTCAAAAGTCTTTTTTACTCAATTTTTACCCTATTTATCAAAGAAAAAAATGGGTTTTTCCAATCATTTTCGAAAATTTTCTGGTTTCTTCAATCATTTTTTTTTTGTGATTGAACTCTTCTTGTTCAATCAATTGTTTGGTATTTTAAGTTATTTTTCGAGTCTTTACTGAATTGTGATGCTTTTAGTGAATTTTTTTCTTTCTCCCGAAAATTTAACTAAAAAAATAACATTGAATTTGCCTTAACAACACGAATTCAGTCAAATTCTCAAGTTTTTATTAGATTAGTCGTTGTTTTTGGCCAGTTTTATCGTACTTTAATTTCTCAATTCATCTTCAATTAATGTTTTGATCAATTATTATTTTTGCCTTGTTTGACTCTTTGTTCACTTTCAAAATGAGACATTGTTTATTTTTACCATTCGATGTTTTGTTACTTTTCTTCTCTTTAATGTTCATTTTCTGTTAATCATCATCACTCATATCTTTTCTCTCTCTCTCACATTCGAATTAGATGAACTAATCTGAAATACATCTCAAAATGAAACTAATAACACACAAAACTTGTATTTAACAGTAGTAAAATACGTCTCTTGCACTTACACCGATTGATTTAAGACACATACGAAAAAAAAAAAAAAATTCACCAAAAATGAACGAAACAACCGATTGGCTTGGTTCATTCAGTGTTTATATTTATATTGTAAATGTTGAGAAGTTTAAAAAGAAACTTAAACACATCATCATCAACAACAAACAAAATCAAAAGTTGAAATTTTCTGTTTTTCTATTTCATTCATCTTGAACAAATCAAACATGCATTCATCACCACAAACCAAAAACAAACCTATCAAATTCGTAAACCAAACCAAATCAAAAAAAAACAAATCACAAATACACAAACACACACACTTGTTTCATGCAGAAATTGGAATACCTGAATCTCGTAAGTATCCAGAATCACCATCTCTCTCTCTCTCTTTCTCTTTCTTTATTTCATCCATTTTTCGTTTCTATCAACAACATATGCGTTAGTCAATGTCTGTACAAAAAAAGCGTTCCCTGTACAAAGCCGTTTTTTCATAAATGCAAATTTCGAAATCCACCCTTGTCCGAGCGAGCTTTGCTTGTTTTCCTAATGAAAATGCTGCTTTTTTCGTGTTTTTTCAAATGCAACCACTAAATTTTTGCTGTTTTTTTGTGTTTCAAAAATAGGCGACGCCGCATTTCCAGCCAAAGCGTCGTTCATTTGCGCACAAAGTGCGACCGCAGTCGGTGGTCGAGAATCTAAGTGTTGGCCACATTCCGGATCTATTGGAAACACCGAATTCGCGTAACAATTCGTCCGGTTCACAAAACAAAGACAATGGTGAGAATTGTGATTCAATCACCGAATTGCCGAGTACATCGTTGCAGCTGCAGCATTTGGTCAAAGGTCGACCGAAACGTGTGAAAACACGAGCGCCTACACGGCCACTCGTAACTGAAATGTCAGCGCATGCCATTGGTGAAGGGATCGAAGCATTCTTCCGACCCGGTTCTGTAACACCGACCACATTAACACCACTCGTTTCACCCACATCCGATGAATGCAGCTCACTGAGTTTTGTCGACAGTCCAACGATGAGCCGAGACGATCACAATGGCAAAAATTGCTTTACATCCGAAGAAACGACACCCATTTTAGAAGAACGTAAACCAATTAAATTGGAACGCAATTCACCGCTGCTTAAAGGGGTCGCATCGTGGACACCACGCTCACGGTCCACGGACAATTTGGAAAAATACTCACCACTCGTCGGCCGCAAATCACCGTTAATTAAGAAACAAATGACTGAGGTCAACAGCAGCAATAACGATAACTACGCATCAAATGCACAATATAATAACAATGACACGAATAATCAAAGCCGCTTACTGCCACCGGCACATGCAAACGAAACTAAAACACGATCACCAAGCAACGAATCCATCAAAAGCTTTGACATGGACAATAACATTGCAAACAAAGTGGGCAACGGCGTTGTTAAAACACCACTTTTACCACCCAAACCAAGGCCATGGTAAACATTTCTTCTTTTAATTAGAAAAATTCTTACCTCAATCACACTCCAAATCGAATTCTAAGCTTAGTTTTATGGAAAAAAGCGGAAAAACATCTATTTTTTTTCATATTTTCTGGATGACGATGGTTTTGACTTTTTCTTAGAAAATCATGTTCATTTTTTTCTCTCCATAGAACATTCGATTGTTCAATTGAACATTGTTAAAACTATACATTTCATGTAGTGTTAAAAACACAGCATTGAATTCAATTAGAAAATAGCATCAGCAAAACAGTATAAAAATACTAGGAAAAATCATTCTCAGCTGACAGTTTGTGGCCCATTTCTGGGGAGTGCTTTGAATTTTATCGGTATTTCGGAAAAATTGAGCGATAAATTACTCGCTCCACTTAAGAAATATGGTTGGCACATGACGCTTGTACTATTTTGTTTCATTACTTCTGCTTCGTTTCCTTCGTCATATGGTCAATCAGTCTCAAATTGATAATCTCAATCATTTCATAGTGGGACGCAACTCAGCACTGAAAGTTGTAGACTCTACGTACTAAAATCGTGTTCCATCAGTCTACTTAGCTGCGGTGTTTCTAACATTCTCATTTCTTTTCATTTTTCTCGTTCAATCTAAATTCTTTATTTCTCTTTCGACTCTTTTTCCACATCACGAACGTGAATAGTATTCACTGAATGCATTTCCGATATCAAATGAATGAATCATGCTTATCCGAGACAAAGTACAGATAAATCCCGTGTATCATCTCCACTTGTATTGTTTTTTACATTGAAGGGCGTTGCACGCACCTTAACATTCACAATACAAACTCAATGCGAGTGGAGACGCCTTATGAAAAATGGCACAGATTGCTAGTGTTAAGGTTTATCTGTACTTTATGAATACCCAATCACCGACTTCTGTGGTTTTTTTCCTCTGTGCCTTCTATTTTTATCATAACAAAATGAATACAAATTCATAAAAAAGAAACATGTTCGCCAGCTATTCACAGAAACTCAGTTATCAGTTCGGTGCTTTGTATCCCTTTTGACGTTTATCGGTCACTGCTGATATAATATCCATATATGGTGGGCAATGTTATTAATTCCATAAATGGCGCTAGAAACCCCGATTAAATTTGTCACGACCGACCAACAGTTCTTGCACTTTTTTGCATGGAAATGGCTGTGACTAGCGTTGAATCATTTTTTTTTAATAATTAGTCATCATTTATTCGCGATGAATGTTGTCATGAAAAGCCGAGAAACTTGTGAGATGGGAAAGAAAAAAATAATTGGATAATTTACAATAACGATGTTGCCCTTGAAAATTTGTATTTAATATCAGAACCGATTTGAATTTTTATACTAGAAATATTTTTATTCTTTATTATTTTATTGGAAAAAGATTATTTAAAAAAAATCGCATTTGATTAAATGAAACATGCTCTTCGAAGCAGTTTCAATGGCAATCGCAACACAATTTCCAACATAAAAAATAAAATAAAATTGAACTTTGATTTGGAGTGCGTAGATAACGTTTAATTTTCAAGTTAAAATTGAACAATTGTTTATAGTCCGGGTAAATTGGATTTTTTAAGCAATTTAATCGATATTAATAAAAATGAAATTAATCAGAAAAATAGAAAAACCTAACCAAAAGTAATCCCTTTTTTTAAATTGCAGGTCTGTGGCTGGAAATGAGGGAAAATGTGATTTTACGGTTGACTCATCGACAACACCAGATGGCCTGGATGGTAGTGATGTGGTTCTGATTGAAGGTCAATCGGGCGGTTCAATAGTTGGCATCACACCTGCAGCTTTAAGTAGCAGTATTGTCGGTATCTCACCAGGTAAACATCAATATCAAGCCATTTCTCTTGCGTTTTTTTTTAAACTTCACTTGAAAAGAACTATGAAAGTTAACTTTTATTCTGAAGAAATAAAAAAAGACAAATTTATTATTTTTACAATTAGAAATTTGAAAAAAAAAAATATTTTTGTCCAACTGAGTATGGATCACACCAAATTTTTATGTTTAAATAACTGAAAATGGCTTTAAAAAATGATCCAATTCAAGAAATGATTTATGATTTTAAATTCACACAAAGAAAAACACCGCAAATTAAAACAATTTCATTAATTTGTAGGCGCTGCCCTTGAGAAGAAATCCGTTCGAGATATGGCAGCTGGACTGAATCGATTAGGAGGTAAGCAAATCGACAGAGTGTTCAAAGTCTCAACTGGAAACTCTTGAAAAGCATATCCGAGCGGCCAAATCTAACATATTCTAACATACAGTTAATTTTGAATAAATCGGTGCACCACAATCATAGAATTCGAAACAATTATTTGATATTTTCATTTTAATTTACAGTCAGAATGCTCATGATCTCTCCTTTAATTTATCATTATTATTATCTTGTAAATAAATTTGCATGCCATTCGTTTCCGTTCATTTTTATTTTTATTTTTTCGTTTCTTTTCTTTTGAAACCGTTTATTTTTTATGTTTCTTTTTTAGTAGATATAATTAAGCCAAAGCCGTTACCACGAAACGTAATCAATTTTACACAGGCAAATAGTAGCAATAATAGTTCGACAGTAAATAATTCAAATGAAAATACTACGTCGACTACAGCCAACACCACTCCAGCCACCGCCACAACCGTCGCTGCCGCCACGGAAACAACCCCAGCAAATACACCCGCCAAAAGTGCTAGCACAAATCCTGCCATGCCCGTTGTCACATCAACGGTCAGCAAGACTGAATCGTTGATCCAACGATTCTCGTTCAACAGCAGCAGCAAATCAACGCCCGATGTCATGAAACGAATCAGCAGCAAACAAATTGCCACAATATTTGAGGTTCGAATCACAATTCCAAAAACAAAAAACCAATTCCATGTGCTGAGATTGAATTGATTCGGTTGACGGTTCTATATTTCCCATTGAGTGTGTTGTGATACCAGCGCAGCGTTCATTAATTGCATGCACTTAGAATGTAGACTTAGAATTTTTTTTTTTTTGAATTAATCGATTGTTTCGCTTGCATGCGCTTGTATTTTAGAACCATTTTGCATTTTTGAGAGTTGTGAATGGGGTTTTTATCTTGTTGCGGACGTAGAGAGACCTTGGAATGGACACAATTTTATCTCGCAAAAAGATGATAGTATGCCTAGAGTGGCCAATGAACGAACAAACATTCGTTGAACACTCTAATTGTGTCCATTTTTAACAAATTTTACTGAGAAAATTCACCGAAAACTAATGGATAACCATTGACTTTTAGTAATATTTGGCTGAGTTTCGCCGAAATCTTCCCAATTTTGAATTAAACCGGAAGAAGATTCACAATTTCGGATCGAATGAAGGAAAAAGTGTATAATTTGTATAAAATCGATGTAAAATATCGCACAATCATAAGTACAAATGCTTGAATCACTAGCAAATCAGCTTTTTTCTGATTCATTGCCAGAAATTACGTCATTTTTCACGAAATTGTTCAGAATTGAATTTATTTTTCAAGAGCAAAAATGTTCTAAACTGGGAGCAGAAGATTTAAATCTTAGAAATTTCTAAGCACCAAAATTAAATTCACAATTTGTGTAGGAAAAAATTCGAAAAAAATGGAAACAAACAGATTTTCTCACAAAAAAATCGAATCGAAAAATGCTCCATGTTCAATGTTCAATTCTTGAAATATGTTAATTCATTTCTTGGGTCAAACGAATAGCAAAACGTAATAAAGCATCCAGAAAAGTGCGTCACTTTAAGTGTCTTCCTGTCAAAAATGTACATCGATATTGTCTGTACCACAAGATAAGAACCTCAATCAAGTTTGATAAACCTTGAGCGTATTCTGTTTTTTTTTCTTCAAATTTTAACGAATTTTAATTGATTTTCTTTTAATTTTCTCGTTTTAAGAGTAACATAAATGGTACTAAGCGTGATGTGAAGCCAATTCCAGAGAATGTTAGTTGAAGGGGCTGCATTCAAGCGCAAAGTGTCAGGGCATCGGAGTCGCGCGTTCAACCGGGTGCGACTGCATTTTAATGAATCAACAGAGAGTTCCAAGTGTAACACAACGACTTCGCCATAACATTTATAAACACAAAACAAACAAACGAATAACAAAACGGAATTTCGTCTGAATAAAAATTGTAATTGTGAAATTGTATCATTTTCCCTGGTTCCGTTCGTATGTAGAATGAATGGATATTGTGAGAAAGGCTCGAGATGAGGAGAGAACTACAACACAGAGCAACAATTTTTAGATGTTCCAAACAAAATATTCCAAGCAACAAATCTGAATTCATCGTTCGTTTTTAATTTCGTATGAGTTTTTTGTGTGAATCTGATGGCAATTAATACCACAGACAAACACATGAAACAAAGAAATGATTTGTCTTTTCATTTTTTCCCCCCCGTACGATTAGAAATTAGTAGAGTTTAGTGAAAAATCTAGTTAACTATACACCATCTGTATTTTATTTTAATATTAATATTTTAATGATAATGTTAGTTGATAGAGAAAAAAAAAAGTTCACGACAGAAAAAATATGCAAAAACCCAACAACAAAAAAATTAATTGCGAAGAAAAACCTAAAACTAATTAACAGACAAAAAAAATAGAGATTTCCGACGATATTTTTTTAAACGTTAGTCAAAATTACAAAAAGAAGAAAAAAAAAACGCTGAAATTGCGAAAACGATGATGAAAATGAGAGAAAGATTTCGTTTTTTTTTTTCGGCCAAAATTGTTTATAAAAACTAAGTTTGTTTTTGATTTTTCTTTTTTTTTTTCTCGCGAAACTCTCAATTTTTTTTTGTCAATTTGAATTTTGACGACAAATGTTTTTTTTTTCTCTCCGGTGCCGAAATGGAAATTCGTTTCAATTTTTTCGAAGCACCATAGCTGTGTTTAAATAGTCACAAATATTGATATTTATTTTTTTATTACGCTCGCACTTCCTTTTGTTTATTGAAGAAAGAAGAAAACTTGTAAAAAAAAGAAGAATGAAATTCGTTTGAAAATTTTGATTTTTGAAACCAACCGATGGAATGGCAGCTAGAAAACAACAAAAAAAAATGCAAGATGGACACCACGATTAGGTGAAATTAAAAAAAAAACTGTTGTTTTGAAGTCCGTTTAGGTGAAATACAAATTTATTGATTCGAGAAAAGAAACAACACAATTTAGGAATTTAGAGTCCGACTGAGAATATTATCGGAATTTAGCCCACATATTTACCACTTTATTCGAAACAAAACTTGACAGTGGCATTTTTTGTTCTAGATTGAATTCAATTTTACAACAGAGAAAAACAAACGCACAACACATACACTCACAGAGCAAAAAAAAAAGAAAAAAATACCGAGAATATTTGTGAATTCACACGTTTATTCGAACCATTGCCATTTGCAAAGTTTATTGTGCCAATTGTTCATGAGCCCGGGTTCTAATACGGCATCCATCTTGAGAATACCGCGCGAACAGCAACCAAAAGACAAACATTTTTTTTATCCAATATTTTACGTAATGACAAATGAATTGTACAATAGTCCATCCATCATCTTTGGTCAAACAATGGTCACATTTTATGATCTGATTTACCCATTTTTTAGAACATTTTTTTTCCAACTTTTGATTTTTAACATTCAGTTTTCGAAACGATTTGTACAACTCGTTTTACTTGCTTTGTGTAGCCTACAAACAAAAACAATCCATTTATATTATTATAAAAATCGTACCAGATTAATAAAGTATATATATGAGACGAATCAATGATTTGGTTTTTTTTTTTGGGAGGAGTTTTTTCTTCCAGATGAATCGAATTTTAAATCATATTTTATACAACACGCGAAGTCTTAAGATGATTAAGATAAAGAAATTTCTATTCAAAACATCAAAAAATGTTTGAATTTATTTTTTAATCATGCATAGGAGGGAAGAAAGCCATCGGATTGCTAACCTGTTGTTACACTGGGAATGTTTGATTTTCGTCTAAAACTCACCAATGCTTTATCAACACTCACGCCGTGGAATCTGAAACCGAATCATTAATATACACGTGTATCCCGTTTTTTTTTATCTGAGTCAATATGTCATTAATGAAACGATTAAGTTGTTAGGATTCGCATAAACATGAGTGAAATGCCAATATAATTGATTTAATAAAAACAAGCACGTCCAGGACATCCAAATATCATTGTTTGTGAACACAAATAATCTTATTCCATATCTATCAATATCTAACTGCCCAGCGGTCACACACTGTATTCGATTTCACTTTTTCGCTGATATTTGAAATTTGTACGAATTACAACTATAAATCATATGAAACTCAAAATAGATTAGATACTTCGAATAAACAACGTGAATGAAACCATTTCAAAATATAATCAAAATCTGCCCAACATCACCATGTACGTAACGAAGTTACGGGAGATGTTCTTCAACAAATAAAAGTTAAAGACAAGTTCCTGGATTTAGATGGCACCGCTAAATTGGAAGTTCTAGCGAAAAATTCCATTTACCTTATTTCAGTTCGAGTTACAGATTCAACAGGTAAGCTTATATTTGTGTGAAAAAGGGAAGAAAAGGGAGCGATGTTTATCGATCAGTCGCATGGAATAGAAATATTTTCATTCCAGTGTAACGTTTATAATAATCATATATCCACATTATAAAAATTAAAAACCAACCAATAACAGATGCCAATTGATAACTATTTCTGTATCCAGAGAATTTGGAGAAAAAGATTGAATATGCTAATTTTCGTTTCTTCAGTGATAAACCTTCCCCTATAGAAGCGACAAAAGTATCCATTTTATTTCAACAGATCGGGACATAAACCAAACAAAGACAAAAAATCACAAGTAAAATGTTCGATGTAATCTCAAAAAATTTATTTCAAACGTTTGGTATTTGAATTCTTTTCATTCATTTCAATATAAATATTCATTACGATTAGTTTGAGGAGTGTTTCTTTTAAATATTTAGTTCACCATATTCAAGTCTTAAATAAGTCTAAAGCTTGTTTAGCGATTCATCTTAAAACTGATCGATAAAAATATTACAGCGATTGTTTCCGTGGCCGAATTTTGCATTCTATTTCTAAGTGTGTGTGTGTCTCCAAAAATCGTTTCGAATCGAAAAATGAAGATTGATGTCAATCGATTTATTGCTGTGTTGAATTGGCGTTGTGGACAAAACGTCGATTATGTGTGTGTGTGTGTATGATGGTCGGTTTCAGAGGCTGGTCGGTGTGTTGACATCATCAAAGTGTAGACCAGTGAAGAAAACGATCCATGTGACGCAAAAGCAGGCAAATGATGTCATAAATCCTTCTTTCAGCAACTCCCAAATGCCACCGTACTCATCCTCGTCGATTTTTTGAAAGTTTAAACAATACAAATACACGATGCCGCAATTTATAGCGCCGAAACTGTAAAATAACCATGAAAATAGAAATCGATTAGTATAAATGATGGTATGAAATTAGATTCTTAGTTTAGATGAACTGTTTTTTTCTTGCACTCTCTTTCACTCTCGATTTCTTCATTTTCTTCTTCTTCTTTTTTCATTTCGCTCATTTTCAATGACAATTTCCCATGGAGGAAATGTCTCTCTGATTGCGATTGAACTGAACGGTCAAAAATGTTGGATTTGTTGTTTAAACTCACAGTGCGATCGCGGTGAAACCTTGCAATGGAATGATGCCCCAGATAATACCGATTATGATACCTAATACTTGTCGAGACCAATAAACAACATCGAGAAACTCGTCCTGAAACCAAGAGAAAAAACTATCAATTTTGGACATTTTTGTTGCGATTTCAAGTCAAAAAGAAACTTTTCTGTTAAAAAAAAAGGCGATAAAAACACGGCATCACATACCTTATCTTGCCATTCTGAATTGCTGGTGATGGCACGAGACCACGGAGATGCTAATTTTATACCTTTGCTGCTATTCCCATTTCGTTCCACTGTGCTGGTTCGTGTGTTCGACATGATTTCTTTTTTTTCCTGTTTTCACCAACTCACTTAAGCAGAAATTTCCCGATAGTTTTTTTTTAGGTCTTTCCTTTGAATTCGAAATCGAATAATTAATTTCTAACTTATTAACTAGAGAATTTCATTCAATGTGTCAAATGTTGGACTAATTAAATGAATAGTCGTGCGAACAATTTACACATACGGCTCCGTGCGAAAGAGACAAACAACACTGACAAATCGTTGTGCTAATGTCAAATGCATGACATTACGGCCGACAACCGAAGTCGTTTGTAGATTTTTAAGCGGATTTTATGCGAGTTCAATAATTTTTTTTTGCGGTAAAAAAATCAAAACATCAAAAAAAAGAATTGAAAAAAAAATTCTTCTTCACATTTTATACGCAGCATTTTGCTGCATTCACGGCTCTGTGTGTATTCAACATTTTCCCCTGATTCATTTGACAGCCGATCGGGCAACACCAACGCCGCTGATGTTGTTCTCTTTATCACAAGGCAATTGTCATTGAGTGGCTCTCGCACACACCGATTATCTCCACAATAACATCATTTACGTGGTCTTTTGAATTGATAACGATGACTGAAGCATTTTCACTAATAAACAGTTTATGTATCCAATTGAATTGGTGCATCCATTCGTGTGTATGGAATCGATTTGAACTGGCTGAAGTGTTTTGCATTGTCATGTCACACACTCATTCACTTGCTGTGGTATTTGATATGCGTGTTTCTTCAGTTAAACAAAGAAGCGCCTGCAATTAACCGGCTTTTGAAGTATTGCTACTCATCACACAAACTATCAAATCGGAATATTAGCAACGTGTGAATCTTTTTTTAACATCGTTTGCACTTTTTTCAATCTATTGACGATGCAAATTTTATTGTTTTTTTTTTTGTTTATTTGTTTGTTACTTTATATGTTTTCTTTATCATAAATTCAAAAATATGGACTTTTCGGTTAAATTTAATTTTTTTTTTGATAATAATTTATCATTGAAAAATTAATTGTTTTAATCGATGTTATGGCTTTGGTTTAATCACACTCAAATAATTTTCACCACGTTCAAATGAATTTTTTCCTCTGAAAAAATTTTCCCCTAAAGAGGAATATTCTTTTCGTGTAAATTGCTTCAGAAGTTTATTCCAATTTTTTTGTTGCAAAAAACTACAATCATTTTCTCTATCCGACTCTTATTTCTATTCAATTCAGAGCTGTTATAAGCACCCCAGAAGTGCGTACACGGTCCAAGTGCTGACCCTGAACAGTTTTAAATTTCATTTTTAGATGAAACAAGTCATGGAATTCTTTTTTTAAATCAACATTTATTTTTAAATTTTTTTAATTCAAATATAATTGTTCTTCCAAAATCAATTTAAACGGATCTTAGTGGCCGCTGGCCTAGTTGCCCGTACTTCTGAGGTACCTATAACAGCTCTGATTCAATTGTTATAACTTTATTTTTTTCAATCTAAATTAGATTTAGATTTTTTTTCACTAAATCTTGACTTGGCTTCTTTTCTGGTGTATCATCAGAAGAAAAATTGGAGTTTGAAACAATTCATTCAATCAAATATTTATTTTTCATCAGTGATTCATTGGTTTTTCAATTTTTTTTCTGTTATTTTCCATTTTTTTTAAATGTGAATTTAAATTGCAACAACATCAAAACAAATGAGGCAAACATGATCCACTTCCGGTTGTTTTGAAACTTCAAAATGTTAGTTTCAGGCACAAATTAGACGGTTATTCAACTCAGACACATGTATTGTGTGGCACCCAATTTCCTTGCTTTTGGATGAATCCCAATGCTTTCAATCGTTTCGAAATGGCTGGTTGCGTGACTCCCAATGATTCCGCGAGCTCTTGTTGCGTTTGACATGGATCTTCATCCAGCAATGCCTCCAAATCGGCGTCCTCGAAAATTTTCTCTCTTCCACCACCATACCGGTCTTCGACGTCAAAATCGCCACTTTTGAAGCGGTGAAACCACTCACGACACGTTCTTTCAAAGCTGCAGATTTCTTCGAATTAAAGAAGAAAAGCAAAACTTCCCGCAAATTACGCGAATTTGGCTCAAAAGTTGACATTTTCAATTAAAAAAAAAAAAAAAATATGATGTCGATAAAAATTCACAATTCCAACGATGCAGTGTTGTTGACAGATGCCCAAGCTTACCGTATGACGTTTTTGAGCTGATATTTTTCATCAGCACTTACCGCTGGAGCCTTCTGTTGGAAAACGGCGGAAGCAAAGTTATACACCCAATATATATGTTAAATATGTATATCAAATGAGTCATGACTAATAACTGCACTTGATCGTAATTCGTGTATTTTTTTTCTTGTTAAACGTTTCCCTGGTTTGAAATTCAAACTATGATTGAACAACAAATGATTGTACCCAGATTTAAATCGGGGCTTTTTGGACTTTTTTTTTAAATATCGATGATATTAATCTTAAAAACAATTGAATAAATATATCATATCATGTCGGATTTGTAATGGGATGATAAATGAAAAAACCGATTTGCCTTTAACTCGTTATTGTCGAAAATGTCGATGGCATCGACTCGATGCGTGTATCATGATTTTCAATGGGAAATTGTCGATTAACGATTTGAAGAAGATGCAATGTAAAACAACAAATCCAATTTGCTTTGTTTGAATACAGTGTTTCAAATAATAACGTTCTTTTTTTTTAAAAAAACAACTTTGGATTTCATTTTCAAAGAGACAGAATTTAGAAATTACATTTGCAAGCATTCATCAATATGAAGCCTAATTATTTAGCCCTTGGTTCATTTGTTCGTCATTATTTACCGTTTAGAACGTCTTGAAATATAGAATAGTATCTCATTTCAATAGTATCTCTCACAAGCATCATTTGCAAACGAATCAGCAGGTTGATTCATTTTTGAAGAGGTTTCAGTCCAAAATGTCCGAATTTGCGCCGTAAATTTCTCATTTTTGGAGCAAAAATGATAGAAAAGGAAGAAAAATGATGGAAGAAAGAGGAAAAAGAGGCAAATGTTGGAAAAAGACAGACAGAAGAAGAAAGATCGAAAGAGAAGCACCGAAAACTAGACTGAAATACAATATTGAAGAAAGAAAAGAAGAAAAAAAGAAACAGAAAGAATTTCGTGAATAAATTCGATGAGGAAGTTAATAACAATTCATTCACCTGGGAAAAATGGTGAAAAATGTTTTTTTTTTCTTCAAAAAATCAGAAAACAAAAAAGTTCTTGCTTCCAAAAGTGTTCCATTTGACTTTCTCCCCATATTTTATTGTCAAAATGTTCACTCCTCTCTGGATTGTTTATCACTGTATGAAAATTGTCTAATCATCAAAAAGATAGAGACGGAAAAATAATGCTCGTCGTCTTTTTGTTGATAATGTTGTTGATCGTGGTATCGATTCTTCGAAGCTTTGGATCAAAGTTGATGCGTAAAACCCTGTTAAAAGTCCGGTGATCTCAAATTTAGATTTCCAGGGCTTAATTGCCTATGTGAAATGATTGTGTCATTTTCATTTGGCTATAGTCTATTGCGTACAGCCAAAAAAAACCGAATTCAACACACTTCCAAACGGTTGGTATTCCGAAGAGCGTTATTATGTGAAACACTGAAATCTAAACGTTATTGTTTAATCAGAGATAGCTGCAGTCAAAAGATGTTAATTAATCGTATGAATCCATGCGAAATATCAGCGTATCTGTATGTGTTTGTTATTCCCGAACCACTCGATTCTCGTCGTGCTTCGATTCGATTGAATATATGATTCTGAGAAGAAAAAAAAAACCTACCGTAATCTCTCATTCGCTCAATGATGTTGGTTGTTGTTGTTTGTTTGAAAACATGCAAATTGTGTGTTAGTACGTACGTATGATTTTGTTTCGACTGTTTGTTTTATTAATGCTAATCGCACTGGCTGGGAATTCCAATGGTAAAGTGAATAGCATGTTGTTGTTTCTATTTATCATTCTGCTGTTCTGTTCGCTGGCTCAAGTTGGTCGTTGCTTCGTACAAAACACGAAAGACACACACTCATATCGATGTATTTGTCTAGCTCTGTGAGCAAACAGAGCGAGAGTAGACAGAGACGGTGGCGACGACGACGACAGAAAAAAAGCCACCGATTTGATATAAGCATGCAGGACTGAGCGTCGATGGTCAGTGCTAAGTGTGACCGGTTCGAAAACGGTTTATATTTTTGCTCATTTGTGAATATAGGCATCAACCAACGACAGCGACAAACGAATGCAAACAGAAGAAAAAGAAAAAAAAATGAAGTGGTTTGTGTGCATCGTACTTTTGGCCATTGGCATCGTCGACGCCGAACAGAATAAGGCATTCCGTGAACGAGCTGAAATCTATTCAAGTAATGTGACTTTTTTCTAGCGAAACATTTTAAAATTCAGTGCTCAATTATTCTATTATACCAAATCGACGTCACACTCACACCGTAGTATGGTCTTTGTTGATGGGGATTCCCTTGCCTTGTTTATTTGCTACCGCGGCCGCTGCCCCCGTATCGCCTCTGACGTCAACCATCAATAGTGTCAACAAAATCATTGTCAATCCGCTTGATTAGCCAAACGATTCTAATTTGGCCGATTAATGGCGTTTTATTCATTAGTTTTACGCAAAATTAGTTTGATGTTTCCTCTTGCTGCAGCCAAGCTGATGGAAAATAGAGAAAGAAAGAGATTTGTGGCATAACTTTAGTGTTTTTTAACCTCTGTTCTATCCATTTGACTCATCGTATGAAACCAGTTTTGTTTTTTTTTTGTGCATATCACATCGCAAAACGACAATTATACTGATGAACTTGAATCTCTCTCTCTCTGATTTCCGAAAGCTAATTTTGCAGTACGTGCGCCATAGAAATATGAATCGATAACATTGTTGGTCATTTAATTACAATATTGACTTTGTTTCGAATTGAGCATTTCAATTCGAAAACTGAGCGTTCGTGTCAAAATGCCTTTGTTTTGAATATTTCTCCACACAAACCTTGGTGTTTAATCATGAGCACACAATGACACGTACGTTGGATGTGTGTCTGTGTGTGAATCATAAAATATTATTACTTCATCTTGTTTCATCTCTTCGTGTCACTGATAATAGTTGTGTATCGTTGCAATGACAACATTACCCGAAGACCTTGACCTGTGTACTGAATGTGTATGTGTTGTGCTCTCTGTCGGTTGTTTCTTCTTGTTTATTTTACCGGCTCATCAATTTTTTTTTTGTTGTGTTTCAGAACAATTATCAACTTTGTTGAAAGTGTTTGTCTTTCATTTTGCTACTTGCTTCACTGGCTTTTTCTAGTCTTATTTCTTAATTTCTCTCTTTCTATCGTTGCAGGGCTCACCGAGTGCGACTATTACAAAACCGACGAATACAACTACACGCATTTTGTCGAATTGAACAGCATTAAAGATACACAGCCAACCGGCTATTATGCACGCGTTCCGGTTTATGTGATCGGTCCCAGAGATGGACACATCATTTTATCAACAAAAAACACACCGAATCGTGATAAAGACGTTGTTTACGAATTTTGTAGGTTTTTCGATTGGCGATTTGTTTTTTTTGTGTGTGTAGGTTTGAAATATTGAAATTGACTGCAGTCAATTCAATCTTCATGAAGAGAGAATTCAAATTCAATTTTTTTGTAGAAAAAAAGACAAAAAAAAATTGATTTGAGACCAAGGGAATTTCTTTCTTTCGTCTTTTCGTGCTGAATCATGGTGGACAGATGTTTTTTCTGAAGTGAATAATTCACCTTTGATATATTTCGATTAGGTGCTTTTTTTGGAAATTATTTCGATAGGTCTCAGAATTTAGCACACCAATTTAATCTCCGATTTCAATTTCAAGTTTAATTTTGGAAATTTTTTGCATTTTTGCTTTGATTCAAATTTTATTGCTTTTGGTTGTCATTTTTATATTTCTTCAGGGAAAGAGAGGGAAGGAGAGAGAAAAAGAGAAAGAGAAAGAAAGAGAGATCGAGCGATTAACGTGTAAAATGCCGACAAAAAAAAGAATGAAATGTTTAGAGAAAGAATGAAGAAAGAAGAAATTGTCTAGATAGCTTTGAGTTCACCTAACTGAATTGACGAATTTGTGAATTGGGAAGAAAAACGTTTAGCTTGTGCTCAAAATTGAATTTGGCATTGGATTTGAAACTTGAATCGAGTTACTTCATGGAGAAACATCGATTCAAATGGCGAATTTAAGCCGTAACTACACAAAAAATGAACTTGTCGAACATAAGCTAAACTCGTTTTTGTTTAAATATTCAATATTGTATTATTCGTAGAAGGTGTTTTAAGGAGACTTTGGCTTTGAGCCAGAAACGATAAAAGAAAACGATTGTTTCTTACGTGCTATTGTTATAAATATTTCAGTGCTTGGTGGATATGGAAACACCAAAACTGTAATTCGGAAGCGAATTCAAAAGTATCCATTGAAAGAGAGTATGCAATTTTCGTCGGTCATTTCGGAATTGCGGCCGCTGAAAGTGGTGATTGAAATTGCAAAGAGTAAGTAACTGATTGTTTCAAAACAAAATGCGCTTCTTTTATCCTTGAGAGAAGAATTGAGTGTAGAAGAAACTTGAAAAAAAAACTTCATTAAAATGACAATTCACTAAGATTGCTAATGACATTATTAATAAATAAAAAAAAACTATTTTAACAGATGGTCACATTAAAGTTTTCACGGACAATAAGCCAGAGCCAATGATCGAAGCCTTTGATCCATTTGTGTCGGATGTGAAATACTTGAGGTATTAATATAACCGTATTATTAAGAGGGCAAACAATAGTGTTGTTTTGAGGATCAACTGCATTTACTAAACTTGTATCTTCTATTCCAGTTTTGCATCGTATCAAGGCGCTTCAAATGAATATTTGTACAATTGCATCTCAGACAAAACCACCGTTGATACAAGCAACGATATCCAAAAGCAACCCGTTGCTGCTCCAACCAACGATTTGTCACGAGTGTCGCTCGATAGTAAGTGCTTTTGAATTTGAATTTAAGATTCCGTTTAGACAATTTAAGCGAAAAACAACAACAAATGTCCAATTTTATCGCTTTTGCACTGATTTTTTCTTTCGCACTGTCTTGATTCGTGATCCGAAAATCGTGGGCAATCTGCAATTTAAGCAAAAGTGATGTGGATTTGCATTTCGCTTAGTTTTTGTTGTTCAATTTAAATTGAAACAATAAAAAAGGTTATTGAAAATTATTAATTTAATGAAAAAATGTTTGATTTTCAGCTTTGGTGAGCAAATGTGAGACGGAAGAAACATGGGAATTGGAGTACAATAAATTCCATGAGATTAAGAGCTTCAAGAATAGCCAATCCGATGGATATTTGTTCAAATTGAACTTCTTCGTTTATGGACAAAAAGAAGTGCACATTTTGTTGTCAGCCACCGAAAAGCCGATCATCGACCGAGAATCTGCTTATGAAATAGGTTAGAGAGACAACTTTTCTTTAATTTGCATTTTTTCTGCTTATTTTTGGCTCTGATTTCTTGAATTTTACCCAATTGAATTTGGTTCTTAACCAAAAATTGGTAAAATTTGAAAATAAATTACAAAAAATGTAACAATTTGCTAAAATAAAATATTTTTAAAATTATTTTGAATCTTGTAAAATCTATTCCAGTGATTGCTGGCTACGGTGGAACACGTCAGGTCATTCGCAAAACGGTGGAAGGTGACGATTTATTCGAACGCGTGCAATTGAAAGACTTGATCTCGGAGGATGAACAAAAACGAGTATTAATTCAAATGACCAAAGGTTTGTCTCTAAAGAGTTTCTTGACTCCTTCGCAAGATAGACTCTTCTAAGATGTAATTGACTCTGATGTAAAAGCCTCTGTTGATTTTTCGAGGAAATAAGAATTCGTGTGAATTTTTTTGAAGATTCTTTTCTCGCATCGAAGAAACATTTTCATTTTATTCTTGATTTGAAGAAGAGGAAATCGATTCATTTGCAACGAATTCAATGAGAACATCGAAAATAAATTGCAATCCCAAAATTCAATCATAAAAATGAAGAAAAAAATCTATTGAACCAAAATTAATCCGAATTTTATTCATTTCAGATGGTCAAATCGAAGTATTTGTGGGTGAATTTCAGTATAAACCGGTTGTGAAAGCAGTCGACCAGCGACCAGTCGATGTGAAATACGTGAGGTATGGATCATATTACGCATGAAAATAATTTTTTATGAAAATAAATGTAATTTATAAAAATTTCTTATGATTAGCTTTGCATCGAATGACGGCGCTCGTGTTCTGTTCTTCTATAATTGTGACGATGAAAAGGCGGCAGCATCACTTTTACCACCACCACCAGCACACAACTTGTTTGCCGAACCCATTGAGCATGATGATTTAGTTTTGGAAAAGAAATGCAAACATTTGCACGCTTGGGAAGACGTTTACACCACCGCCATTAAGTTGGACTCAATTAAAAATAGCAAACCAGATGGATTCCGCGTTCAATTGGCATTGTTTGTGAAAGGTGTTCGTGATGCACAAATTCTTCTCACCACCGGCAACAGCCTTGACCCAAAGGATGGCTATGAAATTGGTATGAAGCAAAAGTTCAATTTCCGAATGGATTTTTTTTCGAATCATTTTAATTAAAATGGATCAAAATCAAAATTCAGTTAATTATGAATGAAAAGTATCATTGAAATGAGTTTTTTGAATGGTTTTTTTTTTTGCAATCAACATTGAATGTCATGTTTTTCAACCAAAGTCGAATACTTCCAGACATTTGTGTCATTTGTGGCTCGATTTTTCATGTTCTTAATCATTTTTCGTCAAAAAATTGAATATTTTCAAATTTCATCAACCAATTCTTTCCACTTGCAGTAATTGGCGGTTGGGGCGACTCCAAGCATTTGATCCGCAAGCACGGCGACGTTGTGACTAAAGTGAACGAATTCAATGTGTTAAATGAATTCAAGCCAATCAAAGTGATCGTTGAACTGACGGAAGAGGGTGTATTGCGTGTCTTCACCGAATCAAATAAATCGCGTCCGTTGCTCGAATTCAAGGATCCAAAACCGATTGATAATTTGAACACACTTAGTTTTACCGCATACTATCGTGATCTTGATTTCTACTATGGCTGTACCGCTTAATTGCTGCAATTATTTTTTTTTTTTAATTTTGTGAAACAACATTTGACATTGTTCGAAGTCGGACAGAGACAGAAAGCTTCTAAATATACGAACAATTTGAAGAGAAAAAAAGCTAATGAATTGCTATTCACTTTTCCCCGAAAATAGGTCTTTCTTTCGTGGAGTACATCGAGATCGGTTGTGTTTTTATTCATTTACTGCATATGGTGTCAAAGTGGAAGAGGGACTCAACCGAATGTAATAATCCACAAAACACGGCATCAAGAACAATGCCATTGCCACTTTTTACACCTAATTACATCCTATGGTTATTGTTTTGATGAGCGTGGTGCCACGCGCTGCTCTGTTTTTATGTACGTGGAGTGTGTGTTTTTGTTCTTTGAATCGCAACACTGCCATTTCAATGTGTTGCACAGTTCACCTGCTTTGTTTCTTTCAATGCGCTTAATTTTTCCGCCGCTGCTGAAGGGAATTTCTTTGCTTTTCACATTCGTTTTCCGCGATCCAGATAACAAATGTGTATGACTTCTTTCGACATTTTGAACATATCGCAACCATGAAATTGTTTAATTGTTATTACATTTGCCTATCTTCCAATGAAAATTTACCGCAGCCCTTCCTCCTTAGGTGCTTATTTTTGTTTCGCAAAGCAGAGATAAAAAGCCGAATTCGCATAATTATTTCAATTATTTTCGATTCAAATTTTTGTTTCCGAATCATTTTCAAACAAGCGAACTATTTCAAAACTCCGCCTTCATCTTTTATTCAAAACACGATACAGTATGAACACCTCATTAAAGCAGCTTTCGGTTGACAGGAAAAAAACACGCCATATTTCTCACTTGGAACTGAATCATTTTGTATATTTGAATATTTCATCTTCTGACACATGTCTTATCGACACACTTAGCGAAAATTAATCAACTTTTTTTTTCGGTCGGGGTGAAGAAAAACACAGATCGCAACCATTCACGTAGTGTCCAGAACGTTGAATTGCGAGATTATTTTGTGAGAGAATATGTCATTAAACTCAAATCTAAATTGATAGAGCATGAAAATCGCTCATTAGCCATGATCACAGATATATTATGACCCAAACAAACATTATCTAGCTCTAGAATCACGAATTTGGCCTCAAAAATGGCACAAATTGTAAAATATTTCAATAAAATGAGCACTTGAAAAAGCAAAAATAGGTAAAATGGACGTAAAAATCGTTGATAGTGCAATATTCACCGATTTTGTAACTAATTTTGCCTTTTTTGCCTATTCATTGGAAGATTTCGCGATCTGTGCCATTTTTTATGGCGAAATTCTGGATTTTAGAGTCATTTGGAGGCGAATTTTTCATTTTCGTTTTCATTTCCAATTCAAAAAATTAAGCAAATGAAACTTTTTTCTCTTCAAACTCACTAAATATTATCAAACGCCCTGATGATAAATGATAAGCTTGGACAATGGTAGTTTTTTCCCAATGACAATCTTCAGTAAATATTTTTCGAAAAGAAACAAAACCAATTAGAATGAGATTCAAAGTCAAATTTTCTGGAGTATCTCGCTGTTTATCGGTATTTTTAAAGCAAATTCAGGCATTTAGAGCCATTTTCAGTTCAAAACTAGCCAGTCGATGGATCAAAGTCGAAGATCCTTGTCAAAATTTAATGTTTGCTTAATCGTATTGATCAATCAGATTTCTGTAAGAAAAAGTCAGTTAAATCTGTTGTAAACAATGTCTCGGTTAAAATTCGCCAAATTTTTGTGAAATTCCATCAAAATCCACTGAGTTTACTAAAAAAAAAATCGTGTCATTCTGTATGACTCTCTTGTTCGCACATATGTCAATTGCCACGAATAAATTCATAAGTTTAATCGTTTAATTATTGATTATTTTCTCTTTTTTGTACAAATTTGCCTAGTCAAAATTGTTGATACTGTTGAAAATGACTTTATATTTGTTTGATGCTGTTTTTCCATTCATTTTGACAGTCAAAACATATCACGAAGCCGTTACCAATGCTTAATGCGAAAGTAATCTGTTTATATTTTTTTTTTTTCGTTTCATGTAAGAGGGCAAAAGAGTTCTTAATTTCTTATCTGCCATTTAAACTTGCAATAAAAATCTAGCGAAAACTACCAACCAAGCGAGAAAAAACCATGACGAGCGTACGATTGTCATCATTTGTTTTGTAATATGAAGCGTAAAAAAAAATGTTATCACCCTTGTAAATGCCAGTTGAGTGTTCATCTGTGCGACAGCGTGCAATTCGTGGTGTGCAATAAAACAGAAAATACTCTCAAATACCTTCCGAATGCATTAGCCATTTAGTAACGTCCATAAACAAACGGAAAGAGAAAAAAAAACACGAATCGTCGAGAAAGAAGAAAAAAGACATTTCAAATCGCCTCATTCGTTCCAATTTGCGTTTATCTGTGTCGACTAGAAATTAGACGAAATGTTTTTATTTTCACATTTTTTTTTCTCAACAGGAATGAGAAAGATTGTGAGCAAGAGAGACACAGAAAAGCAGAGAGAGAGAGAGAGAAACGGAGAGTGACATCGATTGTGTGCGTTATCTGTTTTTTATATATTCAACGATAACCGCGAATGTTTAGCATGATGATAGATATTTTGAGTTGAGCAGAGCCGAGAAATTGCTGGTAATCAAAATCAAGAAACGGCAATGAGTTTTTTTTTATTCGTCACCACGGAAGCTGAAAAAATTGTCAACGATCCTCAGCCGTAACTTTGTTCTCGGTTTTGTTTTCGATGGCCTATACACGGCAGTGTGTGAGTCTATGCCTCTCTCTCTCACTGTGTATATCTCTGATGGCATGGTAAAAGAAAAATACTGTTTATATCAATTATATGCAAATTTGGCAATAAAAAAAGATGTAACATGATGTCGACAACACACAGCCACACACACCACAAACCCGCCCCGACCAAAACGACATATACGAACGGAAAGAATACGCTGGAAATTCATTTGCATATCGAGAATAAGTAAGTACGTATGAAATCGCGTTGTAATGGATCGAAATATGAAATTAAGATACAGCAGCAATAAATGTCAAACCGAAAAATACACATCGTTACACATTCGAAGATTCTTTTTTATTTCTATACTTCTCTCTCTCTCTCTCTCTCTCTCTCTCTCTCTCTCTCTCTCTCTCTCTCTCTCTCTGCCCTTCTCTCTGCCCTTCTCTCTCGCACTCAATACTTCTTGCACTCTCTCCATTCGCTTTAACCATCATCTAAAAATGCCAGTTATGCGCTTAAAATTACATCAATATTGATGAACCGTTCGATATATAGCGAAACTTTAACCGAACTTCTCTGCTCTGATCAAAACAGTCGATTTTAATGTCACACAATTGTGTCTCTCTGATCATATCGCGACAACCGTGTGTATGCTGAAATGATGACAACATAAATCCTCATACAATTGGCTCACATGTCAAACTTCTTCACTACGTGAGATAGATTTGAATGCAGAAAACTTTTCACAATTGTTTATTTGCTAAACAGATATGTGTTCAATAAACACTGCTCGTATGTTTGTTATAACTGCCTTAACTCTTGAGTTAGAGAGATAAAAATTGCTAATACGTGAGTGAAAAATGTATTTTCTATTTTTTTTAAGTCATGAACATTTTTCGATAGAGGTGATCCTCTTTAGTTAGTTCAATCCGCCTTTTTTATAGATGAAATTTTTTGTTGTTGATATTTTTATTCAAATTTTCAGAGATTTTCGTCTGATTTATTCCAAATTTTGAACAATTTCCGCATATCAATTAAACCAATGCATGGTTTTTGCATCATTTCCACTCGATTAAGTTCTCAAATGAACTTCTTCAAGTTTTTCTTTGAACAATATCATAAATCAGATGAATACTAATCAAAAAAGAAGAAGAACATCGTTCAAAACCTTGGAAAAACACCATTTAAATTTCGAAAAATCTAAGCATTGTTCAATTTTATTCAAATATTTTTGGAATCAAACCTGTACAATTAAAGTCATTCGAAAATCTTGCAAATGATTTAAATGTCTCTCATTGATTTCAAATTCATTTTTTTATTACTTTTTTCTTTTTTTCAACATTTATTGATGTAAATTGGTCTTACCTTGTTTAGAATGAAATTAAAACACGGTAAAAATTGGAAAAGCATGCCAAAATGCCTCAGATTTTACTTAAAATCATTTTAGATATCATCGAAGTTTCAACTAGTCTTCATTAATCTTCGACAATCTAATGACTTTTATGAAAGAAATATAAAGTGTCCATTCAATAGACTTTAAAACTCATATTTTCTGTCAAATGCACATTCTTTGAACAATTTTCAATTTTTTTAAAGAAAAATCACACTCTATCTCAATTTGAAATCAAATCCGGACTATTTCTTCGAATTTTTGGTGCTTTTAGCGGAATTTCTTTTTTATTTTTTGGTTTTGACTCGGACAGTCGTCATTTCCAAACAATATATCATAATATGTCATTTTCAAACTTAGTTCAACCGTTTTTTTTTTCTGATGAATCGGAGCCAATTCAATTTTTCATCTTGATGTTATACAATTTTTTCGAGTTTTCAGCATTTCGAATTGACTTTTCCTCGAGCCAATCGGTTAGCGTTCGAATTTTTTCTTCAGAATTTTCTTTTTATCTGTTCAATGTCTTATGTAATGTAGTATTTTAAATATAAATTCAAATTGACGCCGATGTCAGATTTCCATGTTCGAGATACGGTACTTGCGGGGCCTTTTGAGGTATCTTTTAATATCCCAAAGTTTTCTTTTTTATTTTCGATTTGTTTAAACATCTCCAAATTTTGGATTTATGTTTAAGAAAAAAAAATTCTTCAGAAAATCAAAAAAAATCTTCTCTGTTTTTTCTGTAATTTATTGAGAATAAAATAAGAAAAAAAAGTCGCACCGAAAAATTCCCCTGAAATCGTTCGATGACATAGTATCCGTTTCAAATAATTTGCATAAAATTGTGGATGCGGTATAGTTTGGACCGCTATCATAATGTTGTGCACGGTTTTCCCTGTTTTGTATGGTTCAATATGTCATCTCTGGCTGTGCGTCTGTGTGTGTGTGTGTGTGTGTGTGTGTGTGTGTGTGTGTGCATATGTGAGCTGTGGTGTAATATGAGCTGTGTGTTTAAATACGGGTTTGAGCAAACATATTCAATGGATTTGAATCGTCGCGTGTGTGTTACGAGTATGCAATGCATACATACCTAATTATATATGCAAAGTGAATTTATTATTTATTGAATGCGGCAAAATACAAATGTTGTGGCCAAAAAAGTGAGTGTCGAACACAAACACGGCTAAACCATTCGGCCGCAACGCACACAAACAGTTCGATAGCGCCCAAACAATAAAACCGAAAGACACGCCGAAATAAGGAAGAAAAAAGACATCATCATCGTCGATAGAGAAAGCAAGATTTGGGAGTGCAAATAAAATTAAGCATTCTTAGCGTATGAAACATATGCGACCGTGTATGAGTGCTGTGATAAGGTTGATCGTTTCCTTTCTCCGTTCGATATCTCGCCAGCAACTGGTTTCGCATTTTAAATCATCGTACGCGCCATCGTCGATACACATACACACTCGTTATTCCTCTTCGCATCGAATTGGTTTGAAGTCAATTGTTCTTGCATTCATATATTTTTCGAAATTGCTTATTATTGCATTGGAATAAATGGTTGAGATTCGTATTTTGTCAATGCGATGCTTATCAGTAATGACAAATAATTCCGTATTTTCAAGCATTTCTCTCTCTCTCTCTCTCTCTCTCTCTCTTTCTCCTCGAAAATGCTACGATAAAAATTTATCTTTTTTTATATGACAATGGTAAATTTATGTATTTTGCGCATAAATTTCATTCGTTTGGCGGCAACGACAGAAGCAACCGACTGCTTTTTAGCCGGGGAACAAAACTTTTCCTCAAACAATAACTTTCGGGTTTGTTTTATATGCCACAAATGTGTGTGCGCGTGTGCTCGTCTTTATATGAAAATGAATCTATCGTGTTGCAAATTAACTAATAAATTTTTCGTGCACCAACTTCTGAGTGGCTTATGCAGGTTTTTGGGCTTTCAAAATTCCACTTTCGTAATATATTTTTCTTGTGATGGGTGTTGTGTGTTCTTTTTTTTCTGGTGTTTTCTCTCTCTCTCTCTCTCTCTTGATTCGGCTTCTCGGTTTATTCTTTCGAATATTCCCATAAAATATCATAATTATTGCTGCTGCTGTGTTTGTGTATGCTTGCGTATATGTTATGTAATGGCAAAATACGCGAAACGGCATCGCTACGAATTTATCATCGTTAGAGCATTATCTTTTCGATTGCAGTCAAACTACCTGCTACAAGCTCGCTTGCTGTGGCTGTTGCTGCTGCTGTTTCTTTTTTTTCCTTTTGCTTGGCAAAAGTTTGACTTAAGAAATTTCTCGTTACCTGGTTGCTTTGCACATAATACTCTCTTCTATCTTCGTTTTACTCTCTTTTTGTTCATCTCTACTTTTCTCTTCGCTCCGTTTGCCTGGTTCGCTTCTATCTTTGCTCTTGACTTTTCTCTCCTTGCTCTTCTGAACACTTTCTTCTTCTTCTTCTTCTTCTTCTTCTTCTTCTTCTTCTTCTTCTTCTTCTTCATAATCTTTTCTCTGTGTCGTAGAGAGAAACTCTGTCTCTGCAAAGACTATCCCACTGAATCTTTGCTCTCTCTTTCTCTATCTACCTCTCTCCTTTTCTATCTATCTCTCTCTTCTGTTGCCTCATTTCGAGAAAAAAAGATTCTTGAACCGATGCATTGCATCTACCAATTGGCCAGGTAATATCAGTTTTATCGATGTGGCCCATTTGCGTGG